CCCCTGTCGAAACAATAAGTACGTTCCTGTAGTCTAAAACAACCATATTATGCACTGCTCAAAGCCGAAAGCTCCGTATCCTGAACTCTAGCGTGGAGATCATCAGGAGTGAATGCGTCGCTGTTTCGGGCTCTTCCTCTCCTTAGCTTTTCTGACGCACCGAGCCCCCTTGCCGATGTGAGGTCTCCTTGCAAGTCCGACTGTATTCCTCTGCTGCCAACTCTTAAGATTCATTTCAGCCTGCGTCCTCTCGCTTCAACCAGATCCAGTGACTGCTACTGTCTCCTGAAGGAAATTTATGAGTTCGTCACTTTTCTTTGCAGTAACTCCTGCCACTCTCATCCCCTTTTGGACGCTAAAATTGCTACAAAACCTCTGTATCCAACCTCAATCAGAAAGTGAGTTGCTTTCCAAATCCAACCTGTCTCCTTGCATTTTTCGACAAGCGCCTCATATCGGTTTTCTTTCCGCTCATGTGCAGCATTGCTATTGTCTTCGTGAGGCACCGTGAGCTCCACCAGGCGCACCTGTCCTCTTTCTCTTCTTCCTCCCATAACACCAAGTCTGGCTATTTTTGTTGTTGGGATGGGGAAGAATCTCTGGAAGCCCTGTCAGCAGCTACCCCCCATGTGCCTCCGCTCTGGTCTTTCATGGCTTCGTTTGCTTTCTTTCTGTTGGGAACAGTGCTTCCTTTCGGAACAAACTCAAACTTGGTTAGTCCATGCTTCTGTAGCTTCGGGGCGTATTTTCCTTCTTCCACCTGTTTTGTCGCCATCGTGGTGAGCACTTACTAAGCACCTCGTTGTGTCTCCATGTGTACCTGTCAAGAGCCAGTTTTCAATTTGACAGAAGATGCTTCAAGATTCATAGCTTACCGCATTTACCTTCCATCTGACCAAGTTCCCCGGTGAAGGTAAAACATCATCATACATGAACATGATAGATAGACCGGAGGAGAAAGCTTAGTCTTAGATGTGTTCCACTTCCAGATGTCACTCCAACCAACTTTTTTTTCGACTGCATGCTCTTCCCATCTTGTCATTTGTCCTTGACCATGTGTAAAAACTCTGGCTGAGTGAAACTCATTATCCAGTTTCGCGTGTCGGCTCAAGAGACAGGTGAACTTTGTAATTTTAGATTTTAGATATTTTGCAGTTATTTTTCCTCATAACTGTACAAGTCCCTGAACATCTACACATACTCAGTACTGTCTTCACGTTGGGAGGGGTTTTTTTCTTTCTCTCTAGTTATGTTTCTTCTCCGTTTGTGTACATTGGCGAAGCGCCTACCATAAATGCCATAACAAATAATCACTGCTTCCCTTCCGTAATTTGGGAACATCGTCGCCGTCAATTTATACACCCATAAACAGACGAAGGCCTGATAAATTTTAAGTATATAGCTCTCGGAACTGTTCAATTGCATCAAAATACCCTGTTCATTCTTTTCGGGTCACTCTCATAAGCAGTCACAATGACAAGCACTGATTATGTAAGCTAACAATACATGTACATGTAATTGGGCTGGTAGAGTCTACCTCCAAAAATTTGAGGCGACGAGTCTGGCGCGATCGGCTTGTCCACGATAGCCGCTTTGCGCCCTCAATCTGCTAGCAAACCGCCCCGACCGGACCCCTCCCCCCCCCCCCCCCCCCCTATAATCTCGGGGCTGGTGAGAAAGCCTGGGTTTTTTGTGTTGTTGTTTTTTTTTAATAGCTTTTTTAGGGGGGGGGGTGTCTCGACTTTTTACCGCTCTATACTCTATAGTATAATCTGTTCATTACCTGATTTCCTGGCCACGACAATGACAGCTAATTTTGAAGCCAAATTGCTACATAATATTGGACTTGGGAGTATTGTCATCTCTGCTTCTTTGCCTTCTGTTTGTGCACTCACATCTATTCTTTAGTTAAATTTACTGCTGAAAAATCTTGAGACCATGAATTATTCCCACCGTCAATAATATTAATACGTTTTGCCCAAAGTGGGCAATTATTGAGATATTTTCTCGAGTATTTTGGCGGGTGAACATTCAGCAAAGTATTGTTATAAATTATGATGGTTTTTCAGGATTTGGTTTCATTAGCAACTCATTATATATTACCGCCTCGAATAAGAAGTTTTGTTATGCTCTTATTGTGGGAAGTTTTTCGTGTGTGGCCTCATTTCTACCTGATTCGTTGTCTCACTTTGACTAACCTTCCAAACAAGTCAGCCTTCGCCCATGTGTGTGTGTGTGTGTCTCGGGGTGAAGGTATTCTTTTCCAAAAATATACTCATAGTCATAATCATGATAAAATGTACACGTAGAGATCTTTTTACGACATTGTATTGTACGAAAATCAAAATATGAACAGTAGAAAATACATGTATTAAATTTGTTGTGTCCCTTGATTTTGTGATCTCTGCCGTCAAGTTGAACTTGAGATTTATAATTTATATTTAATGATATTTGATGAGTTGGTATTCTTCCACTCCCCTGACATCACTCAACTCATAATTTATAAAGAATCCGTAGTCGACTGTACCTCTCTAAACTCTCTTTTACTCAGTATGGTACACTACGTAATGTATTGTATAGTGCACGGCACCATTCCAGTCAACTCCGGATGAGTTGATGTCCGGAGAGTGGAAAACGATCACACACACACACCGTTGGGAACGATAAATGAAGAAGAGGTGCTGGGTCACAAATAGACTATGCACTACATTGTACTTGTACACACTGTATTGTGCTGTGTGTCAGGTTAGGACTAGCATGTATAGAAGTAGAAGCAAAGTGAGGAGATCTGAGTGATAGTGATATTGCCTCACGCACTTGCCCCTGTCAGCTAAATGATGAGGCACTGGCAATGAACACTGAAATCGAATGCTCGACTCGATTCTAATATCTATATCTATCTATCTATCTATATATATGTATGTACATGTATCTATCTATCTATCTATCTATATCTACATCTCTCTGCCTTCCTCTCCGCCCGTGTGAGTGTGTGTCCATCACTCGCGTTCTTTGGGTTTCTCTTGACACACTCCACTGCTGCGGTGTAGACTGTTCAAACTTCGATGGGTCATCAAGAAAATATTGACTGTCTTGTAAATGAAGCGTGCTTGAAGCCGAAGTTTCCGTGCTTAAAGGCGTGTAATTTATATAGCAAAAATTCGGTTAGAGCCGTTTAGCGTGCTCGAGTCCGAAACGTGCTTTAAGCCGGCGTGCCAGATTACTTTTTCTGCAGCTCTGGGTCTTCTTACTATCTTATAAACTAAGAAAGCCGAGCTTCAGCGACATCCACGCATTGTGTGTGATGTAAACATAAATGACGTCACGAAACACGCGGTCACTGTAGTGTTTGTGAACTAACTTTGCAGAAACAATAAATCATGACCAACAGAAGGTCGTGATTGATGTGTGTTTCTGTGATTTAAACATAGGCATGCAGTATACAGTACACTGACAATGCCTGTCTGTTTCTTAGGAAGACTCCAGTAAAACTTGATGGTGCGGTTCCTGGTTAAAAGATCTAGTCGACAAATCCCCATAAGTCATTGTGGGTTAGAAATGGCAGCATTTTGGCTCATCTCTATGGGTTTTCACTCAACTCAAAGTCAAAGACAAAATTGGAGATTTTTTTTTTTTTGGTTTCTTGCAGTTTTCAGATTGACCATTGACAATGTTCTCTTTACATGTATTTAAATTTAACTTTACGCAGACTCCACCGTAATTTTAGTCCACCCTACTTTAGATGGTTTACTTCTACTGTACATTACATGGACCCAACTGTACTTGTTCACCGATGTCTGTGCTGTAGCAGTCAGGCGCTTTGCCATTGCCCACAGGAGTTGGTCCGATTCCCAAGCGGGAATAATTCTTTGAGTGCTGGGAAATTTGATTCCCCTTTCAGTCAGCAGAGTTTGGCATGGACAGGCAGGGTCAAAGCAGCCCAACTCCTAAGCGTGCGTATGCCCGAGTCAGCATAAATGATCGCAGTTCAATGAATCAGGAATCACATACACCACACTCTCCTCTTCTTTTACTTTTTGGCCGGCCCTATACGCTCTCTTCATACATGTACAGAGCCTCTAAGCTACGGCACGCACGCCACTTTTGGTGTGGCGGCTCACATAATGCGTATCTACACACCATCTCTCTCTGCCGCCTGCCCCACCTCACTGGACTGGCTATTATGATTCACGCTGCACTGCTGACTGCCTATTTGGAGCCCGCCAACGCCTCCCCAATCCCCTTAAACCCAGCTAAACCTCAATACTTGATCTCTCCCGCTGTATGCTGTATCCGAGTTCGGGCCTTTCCTTGCCCTGCTAAACCCGAGCACAGTTAATTGAGTTTACACAGAGAAAAAGGGGGATTCCGGTAAGGTCCTGCTGTAGTCGTGTTCTACTGCATTTATTTGGTAACAGAGGAAACTCTCCTAGTCTTTTACAGAAACTGAACAAGGGGCAAAAACTTTACCCTCGATTTTCTAAAAACTGTATTTTTGGGGATAGCCCCCTCGTGCTTAAAAAAAAGGACCAAATTTGATCTAAACAGTGTTGATGAGGACGTATAACTTCTAGTTTACAATTGTAGTTTCTGAACAAGTCATTTTTGCTGCACACACAACCAAATAATTTCTCTTTAAGTTTCCCTAAGATCACTTTTAAGTTCCAACAAGTGTTACAAGACTTGCAACATAAGTCACTCAAGTGCCGAAGATTAGAGGTATCACAAAAGAGTAACATGAGGACAAGAGATAAAGATGACAGATGCTTGATAGAAAAAAATACCCACCAACCATACATTCCACCGACATCACCAAGGCCTTATGGCCCAAGTCAGACGGGTCAACATTGAAACTGATCCACCACAGGACTCCTCGGCTGTCAGGAGTCCCTGGATGATCAGTTTCATTTAGGCACATTTCTGACTTGGGCCAAAAAGGAAGAACCTTGATCATGTACTGTACAATTTGTAACTACCCCAAACAATGAATAAACCAGTACTGCAAAGTAAAAATAACTAGTTTTATTTTGATCACGACATGGATGAAACTACACAGACTATAAATTTTAATATCTATGGTTCTTTAAGAAACTCCCCCAAAAAGTCAGCAAATACCCCCTGAAACGTCTTTAGAAAAAACCGATCAACTTTTGAGCATATCTGTACTTCTGTCAGCTTGAACAACACCAACAGAAAAGTACAATGTACTTCATAAAACAGTTGTAAAACCTAGTTTGCCCCAGTCCTGAACAGATCATTACATGTACAGACAGCAAAGCAACTAAATGTTTTAGCAGCGGAGCCTGCAAACACCGACGGGTATGAACAAAGGGTAATACTCCTCATAGCAGCTCTCGAGAGCCAAGGTACCAAGTCTGCCTCCACTTTCCCCATGAATCAGCACGACCATGCAGATGGCCACAGGAGAAAAAATACAAGGAGATCATACACACAATGTCATGAAAATAAAAACAACACACAAAGAGAACCAAAACATGATAGTTCAGCTGCCGCATTAGAGGCGAGTATACAATGTATTTACAAAATTTCTATTGTTCCAAATGTGCACTAAAATCAGAACACAGTACATATGAACAGCTTATTCCTGAGAACATAAGATTCCCTGGGCTGTCCAAAAACGGAACACTACGATCTCGCTGAAAATGAAAGAGAGCATTAAGATGGTCCACTGCATCTCATGCTTTTCAATATTCTTGTAACCCACTATACAAAATAAAAAAAAAAAATAAAAACAAACCCGCCCACAAAATCAACAGTTTCAAAACATGAATGGCCTTACATCAATGTAAATCAATAGTTTTGTGCTAATAACGCACATGGGTTTAAAAAAATAATGGCAAGGTGATCAATGAGATTTGAGTAGACAATTGAACAGATCAACTTATACAATGAGACAGGACGATGAGCGATGATTTTAGATGGTCGATTTGGAGAAGGACACCCTGAGATGGAGGCTGTCGCCGACTTGGTAGTTGTGAAGACCCTGGAACAAAGGAAACATTTCATGAGCAAAATAAGGGATTGAAGGGGGACAGCGCCGCCTTTTTTTGGTTTTAGGGCACCCTAAATATGCCATTTCTGGCTGTTCAAAAGCAGATATCTAAAAAGAAAATGAGTGAGAAAAAAACAAACCTTGCATACATAATATTCTGCTTGGGTTGATCCATATAAATCCAAGCCCATGCTTTCTCACATGCACCGGTACTGTATATCCATAAATAGTAGTATAACAGCTAAAACTAGATCTATAATTGACAGTTAACTTTCTACTTTTTTCTGCTTGTGTTTGATTAGGCATATTGAAATAAACACACAATTTCTAACTAGATCTACACTTACTGAAAGTGGATGAATTTAACGCTCCTAGATCTATATGACTTAGCACCAGATAAACATTTGAACCAGGCGTCCTGCTCTGGACAGCCATTGAGAATTGAGAAGAAAAAGGATAAACAACCAAAGCCGAAGACACTGTCTACACTTTTATATAAAAGAGCACTTCCGGTGCAGGATGGCAATTGTTGACTCTTGGTAATTACGAAAAAAAATTGCATTTTGCATTTTTTTAAAATGTTTGTTGTTGGGTTGGTTTTTTAAATGAATTTCCGCGAAAAATTTTCCTTTTGGATCTCCGCAAATTTGCGAAAGACTGGAAGCACTGGTACGTCACGAAAATGCATAATTTTTAGCGCTATGTTGTACAATGTACGTCACAAAAATTGGAAAAATTTGCCGCTCCTGTTTGCCTGTATGACATTACATGTACATCACGCTAATAACCTGGCTCTAATTCTTCTATATAAGGAGTTTTAGCCACACACACAGCGTAGAATTGTATTCGTGAATAAAAAGACATGTATATCGATACCAAATTTGCTAGCATCTTTTTTATCTAGGCTTGCGGGCAGCCGTGTACTCTCATAAAACGTAAACACCGAAAAGACTTTAAAAAGGCAAATAAATTCACTTCTTTACTGAGTAGTACAGGTTAATTGAAATCCTGAGTAAGATGGGAGGAAATGGGGAATAATGAAAGTGAGAAAAGTGACACAATCGAAGACCGTGTCCGAAATATGTCACAAGTGCGCTAGATCTAGACCGCACGTCCATTAACACTGAGACATTAGGCTACTGTCCAGTGACAGCTCAGCCGAAAATCTGACAAGAGGAACGAAAGGGTTAAATATGAACCCCATCACTAATAGGGCTGGACTTGCGCTGACAACATTAAGCGACTGTAGAAACATCCAACAATTATCATGAGCAGATCAATATTTAGTTGTGCACGTATCATCTTTTTTTTTAACCCCATTGTTCATGAACTACAAGTTCATACCTTTCAACAACAAAAAAAACAACATGGTCCATGGTCAAAAAGTGACCTGATTTTAGTGAGTCTGCAAGATCGTTACAAACCTAGGCTATCTGACAGAAACCTGCTAATCTCTAATGGCAGTAGTATATTTTTTTTACTACTAATCTTGGTGAAGGTCACATACTAAAAAAATAAAAAAATTTTTAGCAAACCCAATGCACACAAAATAGTCGTTGATTCAGACTGCACACTATCATCCGATTAAAACCCCTATTATCATGTGGTGAAATCAGACGCTCGTCAAAATAATGAAATCTGCATTTTTTGGTAAATTTTTCTTCTAAATTTTCTTTTTTTGCTCAACACCTCTTCTGTCCATTTAAAACATTTTGGTGTGGATTTTCTGAAAAACATTTAACGGCAACAAAAAAAAGTACATTTTCAATTTCCAAGGACCGTCAGGCTATGGAAGTTACAGTTACCAAACTTTGGCGGCCATTTTTTCGCTAATGTTAACTCTGAAACCAGGAAACCCTGACCTCTTTCAGCCATAAGCAACCAGACTTCTATTCGGGATGGATATTTTTTTCACCAAAAGGAAGGTCTATGAACAGACTTTTAGATGAAACCAATAACCTCATATACCCAAAAACTGACGAGCGCCTGATCCCACCACACCGTGACACATAAATGGAGACGTAAGTAACGAGCAAAGGATTTTATAATCACAGGACTGCCCACCTACCTACCAGCACATGTTTTAGTAGCCAACAGAAAGAGAACTGGTAAACTGGCTTAAAAATTCGTAATATGGCTAGGGAAAATCTTCTATGGCATGTCAAGGAGAGGGGTTGTAGTCAAGTATAGTACAAATGTAAAGTAAACAAAGGTGTGACGACACAAAAAGGCAGGAATTGTTAATCTAAAATCTGCTTTACTCTTGGCTTTGGGACATCAAGTCTTATGTTTTTCTAAGGGCAAATTGACACTGAGCGACTAAAGGATCAATGCAAAAAGGGTGTTACTACTGTTAAAGTTGGACAGCTGCACGTGACGTACACTGTCTAGGTCTGATAGTTTTTCTATTTTTCTTCTTATACCACGGGAAGGTTGGCAGTGGGTTGGGGTAGCCAACATTTTTTTAAAAATCAGAATCATGGGTAATACGATCGTATTTTCGTAAAATTGGATAAAAATCGTAACCATTTCACAAAATTTGTGTTGGCAGGCAGGCCTGCAATCACACACTGATACTCACAATTAAAGCAAGAGTGGCTTCCTCAATTGTTGACATCTCAATCAAAGCCATCTTTCTGTCGTTGCTGAAAAAGAAAAAAAAAGTCAATTTTAAAGAAACCATCAGTTCTGGTATTTAGTCACAGCATCCCTACAAACTCAGCACATATGCTGTTGATGAATACAAGAGCTGACTTTTGAGTCCAATAATACAGATCACGGCGCACCAGTAGTGGAATTTTAGTTGCCGCGCCGGGCGCCTTATCACATCGGGGTCACGGGGGTCAGCTCCCTGTCGCCGCTCTGTCTGGGCCGACTTAATTTTTGGTACTTTTCAACGTACAATTTTAGGTGTATCCTTGTATTTATGGTAATTCTCATTTAGTGCACCCAAAACATGCATTTCTGCTCTTGAGACTCAAAAAAGAACGGACGTTGTAACTTGTCTAGTTATTTCGTTAGACGCGCTGGAGTTGGCAATGCTAAATTGTAATATTTTATGAAAAAAAAATCAATATTAAAAAAAGGCATACACAAAATCTGTCGACCTTTTGGAACATGAACAACATAGCATTGGTGCAGATGGTATCTGCGCATATAATAGAAAGCTGTAATTCTGCAACTTTATCCATCGGGCACACAATTCGCCTAGAAGTAATTCCTCCAAATACAACTTTATGTGTCTAATATAATCGTGCATATTCGCATATTTTCTCGAAAGTTTATAAAAGTTACCATGAAGTTTCTCTATGAAAAGTACAAATCGATTTTAATGCCAGAATACATCTTCAATGTAATACACGAACAGTATCTGTTACACTCCATAAATTCCTTATTTTTCTTAAAACGTTTAGTCTCGGTTTTGTAAGTTGACTGAATAATAGGGATGACTTCTCATAATTGGGTTACAAGAATAATTTCTAGCTTTCCAGGGACACTGAATCAGCACAAGACTTTTCCAGCTTTATTTTTCACTTCTATGACCATTTGCAATAACTGACAATGTGACTGATTTCTTTTCATTCACAAGTGTCTGCGCAATTTCCGACAAGAATGAATGTCTTCGCTGTCATTATTTTTATTCCATTCAAGAAGTTTATTTCGACCCACGTTTTAACACGGTTTTGTGGGGTTTTATGCAGGCTGCCACTGACACAGCATGATTCATGAACAAACGAAGAGTAACTTTCTCTTGTTTAATAGTAAAATAAGAGCTAACACTGATCGTTCTTTAGTTAAAAAATGCAGATGTGCATCTTTCTTCTCTTATAACTTTATTACTACTCGCCCAGATTTAAGATATTCGTAGTAAGTTTAACACAGATTTTGAAGAGATCTGTCGTGCCTTTTTAAAATTAACAATAATTTATTCATAAGTTTGAAACTAAAATAGGACAAATTGGGTACTCTACAAACACTTGTCTAGAACAATAACTACGGCACAGAAATAAACCATTTTAATGCAGAATAAATCTCAAGACATTGAGCTTTTAGTACATCCGCGAAATGGTTTGCTGTGTGGGATGGGGAAGAAGTTATCTTTTTAAACAGTAAAAAATGCAAACTTCCTAACCGACACCGGCAAAGTCACTTCAGGGCTCATTAACCTCGTGACCCCGAGCCGGAGAGCTCCGGCAGGCTGCCGAGTCGCGCTAACTAAAGGTAACAGAATCGGGCGAAAAGTGACGCCTTGAGATGAACACAGAAAATATGAAAATGGAAAACTTCAAATCAGGGATAGCTTGTACAATTTTCCATTCCCTGCCGGAACTCATTATATTTCATTATATCTGCATCATAATTACCCCCCCCCAAATTCTGAAAATCTAGATGACAATGACAATCTTTATTCATCTCGCAGGGAGAAATTTGTCTTGGTCGTTAACAATGGCAGTAGACGTTACTAAAGTTAGACCTAAAAGTGCACTCACGCAAACACACAACAAGACAGGACATTAGGCCTAGTAAATAAATGTCTCACATGCTGGGACAACCCACTCCGTAAAACATTCTCTCTCTCCGTTTCATTTGTAGCACTGTGTGTTCAGTAACCTCACTGCAGTTGCGACAAATGAATTTGTATATCTGTCTGCTCTTGCTTTTTTGGAAATGTATCATTTACTGGACTTTAAGCAAAACCCATGAAAACAAAATCACTGCAATGTGAAATGAAATTCTGCGAAACCCTTAACATCACTAGACGAGACAGGCAGAGAAATGAAGTAAGAGCAACTATCGGCACCGAGTCCTGCCTGCATTACATAGAAAGACAGGATAAAATTGTTTGGCCACCTGTTACGCATGTCACCTGACCAGCCAGCCTCGAGAGCCTACAACAAGTACTCAGGCTATAAATGAAGAGGAAGGCTACGTAAAAGGTGGCTCGAGGGTGTCAAGGAACCCCTAAGAAAACATCAAAACTGAAAGAGCTGCGGAGCTGGCGTATCATAGAAAACTGCATCTCCCCTCGCACTCAACGGCAACAGAGGATGAAAAAGTAAAAGTAACTTTTACTGTGGGTCGATAGTTGAAATTTCGATGTCAGTACAAAAGTCAGTAATGTGTAAGAAATGTATTTTTTGTCAACACTAGAGGGAAAGACAAGATTGAAGGAAAAGGAATGTAAAAAATTCTTACAAACACATGAACAATAAGAAGATAGCATTATTTAGTTTCCTTGCCATTTGAAGAGGACCCAATAATCGCTAGAAGCAAAGGCATTGGCAAAACAAAGTGAGCCAACTAAAAGTACCAATTCCTTACTTAAAGAACTTGAAAGCTTTGATTGATCCATACTGAGAGAACAAATTACGGATGTCATCTTCCTCCAGAGTGTTGCTGAAAAAGAAACAAAAAGTGAATCATAATCATTTGATGGATATAGGTGGACCTTCTCTTACTTATAATAAGCACCAAAAAAACAAAAAAAAGTAGTCGGGCTGGTGAATATGTATGCTTGGGTATCAAATAGAACTGTACTCTGAGCCAAGGAAGATCACTGTAAAAGCCTCCCAATCGATTCTACAGGAGCATATTACCACCAACCTATCTTGACTTACAGCACCAGGAACCTTCAGATTTTAAAAAAAAAAAAACCTAGCCAAAATAAAAATGAAGACCCACCCCAGACTGAATGACAATTTTAAATTCTATAAAATTCAGCTTACACAGCTTCAGAGATGCCAACCATAGAAAATCGAAATGAGTATTGGGAAATATGAAAATGTGTATTCCCCACCACCGACGGACCAACTAGTAAAATATTCAGGGTATCCAGCAATATTTCCTTTAAAAAATTTACTAGCTCACCAGCTCAAAAAAGGGAGCACACACGTGTACAATATACATGTATCAAGTAAACAACATGTCAGTGTTCAGTGCCGTACTGGGGTCTTGTTTGACTTAAATACTTCAGTCTTTTAAAATATTTTCCTCTCATTATTATATAAAAATTTAATCCTGCTTTGAGCGTTCAGAAGGGCCTAGAACAAGAATTTTGATAATCAAGAACCAGTCTGGGTATCATAATTCATATTATGAACTGACATACTAAAATTATTGCTCAAACTCAGTTTTAGTAGAGGTTTTACGGCGCTCGCAACTGCGCCAGAAGATTAGGTGTCACAAGAGAGTAACAAACATAAAAAAGAAGGGGAGATAAAGACGATAGATGTTTGATAGGAAAGAAGAAGCAAACCACACCAGAGCACCCGCCGGTCACAATGGCAAACCAGACAATCTAAAAATCGAACGACGCTTGTATTTTCTTTTCTGTTTTTCCCACAAGTGACAGCACAGAGACGAGTCCGAGTGTTGAATAAATTTTTTTGGCGCGGCAACAGTTTTTACTTTGCACAACCTGCATTGTCACAAATATTCCGTTATCAGACTACCGCTGGCAAACTTCTCGGTGGTAACGAAAGCGAAAGTTTTGAACTTGATTTTCCCTATCGAGCCTCGGTGTCACATACACTTCCGCCATAGCCGCCTCTTCGCGTGAAAGTTGAAACATATTCTTGACGGTGAAAAGCTGAACGAATATAATATCACAATCGCGACCGGCAAAAATGAACTTACTGACCTTATCGGACTTGGTTTTCAAATATTCCAGTTCCGCGATACTGAAACTATTTTGACAAAAGATGGGACTTGAGATAATTAGGTTTACTCGACCAAGCTGAATCTCCTATTTTTCGCATTCCAAGATGCGTATTTTTTCATGAAAAGTCGTATTCGCGTATTTTCGGCCAAAAATCGTACTAAAATACGTAAAATCGTACTGGTTGGCATCTCTGCAGCTTCAATAGGAAAGGCATAATACACAAAAGACCTAAATCATAAAACCATGTAGCAATGCCCACCGAGCGCGTTTTGTTCTGCCGATTTTTTTAGAGAGAGAGCGAGAGAGAGAATGGGGCGGGGTAAATATGTTACATTTATTGTATGAGTTGTAGCCTACACATGCCAAATATTCCCATGACTTGTAAACTATATTATCTGAACGCATCTTAATCTACCACACAAAAGGACACTGTCCAACTATGGATATACACAGAGACGATCTTATTTTCTATAACAAAGTAAGCATGCTTTTACTAGTACAGAACTGGATTTATTAGACTAATAAATCCAGCTCTCTACTTACATTTTTGTGACAAATTGATCCAGGGCATTGCTTGGCAAGGAGGAACCTTTTATGTTGCCAAGTTTCATTCAAATATCATGACTTTGGGAGAACATATGACTGATAATCTTTGTAAATCTGTAAAGAACGCCACTTTTTTACCTGTTAATGTCTTTACAACTCAAAAAGTATGACAGATATTAAAAATCTGACTGCATGACTAGGTTCTGCATAAAAAAATGTACTAGACTGCCAAGTTTCATTTCCATATTCCAAGAAATAGGCGAGCTATGACAAATATTGTCTCAAAACGCACCGAAAACTGCCACATTTTTACCTATAAACGTCTTCATAACTCAAAAAATAGGATAGCTATGGAAAATCTGAAAGCAGGACTAGATTCTGCACTAGAAAATGTACTGGGTTGCCAAGTTTCTTTTAAATACTCCGAGAAATGAGCGAGTTATGACGAATATTGTCTCAAAACTCACCAAAGAACGTCCCATATTTTGGGGGTTTTTCATTATATAAGTGTACCAGAAATTAATTGATTAAAAAATCTAACTTTTTTGTTTATTGATGGATTTCAAAAATTCAAAAAGTTCCATGCTCGGTGAAGATAAAGCTACAAAATGCACCTATTTGCAAACACTTTCTAGCAAAAAAAAGGATTTTCGTGGTCATTGCTAAACCATGGTCCACTCATTCATGCCCAATATGGTTTATATTGATCCTAAAACTTACACATTGTACAAATGCAGCACGCCTGTAGGAGGGAAAATGTAGTTCTTGGAGCCCATGCGCTTGAATCTGTGATGTGGGGACGTCACAAAATCTTTCGTCAGGCCGGCATCCTGAAAAAAACCAACCCAACAGCAACAATGATTTTTCACTAAAATGACATTCTAAAAAATACTCCTCTTTTTTCCCATATATAACAGAAAGGCACACAACAATCAACTGAAAGCTTAGAAATACAGTCGAACCTGTGTAAGACAGCCACTCATTGTCAAGGAGAAAAGTGGCCTTATAAGACAGGTGGCCATCTTAGGCAGGACTGATCAAGATGAAGAAAACCATTCCTTTCTGAGGCCCTAACCGAAAGGTAGCCCCATTGTTGTTGTTGTGTGTTGTAGTTTTCACTGGGGGTTTTTTTCTTCTGTTGCTGCAAGGGTGACATAAAAACTAAATGTGTCAGACAAGGAGGACGAGTGCTATGGTAAAACAAACACATGGGTCGCCACCACTCGGAGAACGAGCGGCGCTTTTGTCACAAGTTCATGTTGACCTCCATTGTTTCTTTGTTACAGAGTGGGTAAACAGTGACCACTCATCTAACTTAAGATTTGAGTACGAGTTCTGGGCGGGGCTTATGGGTTATGAGGGACCACACCCTTTCCTCACCAGCTGAAAATTTGTTACCTATTGGTCAACAGAGGGAGGGGCCAACACAACATGACCGGTTGGAGTTGGAGGGACTACCTAACAACAACGACAGGTGATTGGATTATGACAGCTCGTCCTCAACGCCAGGGGCCAATGCACAATTTATGACAAAATGTAATAGTCACTAAGGTGGCCGTCTAAGACAGGTGTTATTGCTTGGTGTGATAGGGGTTGTCTGTTAAAATATGACGGCCGCCAGGAAAGGTTCAACTGTACCATCATACATGCCAACAACTCCCTGACCAACAATAGGAGTTGGAATCCTTCCTAAAATCTGAGTTTGAGAGTTATATTTTTAAATCAAAGAGCTGCGATTTCAATGGAGTGCTTGCAAGTCTGTACTATACATTGCAAATAAACATCTCAATGAAAAAAAAAGTAACATGAAAGCACTTTATTCCTCCAAACCATTTTTATGGGAAATACATTTTAGGCATGCGGCATGGCTTTTTTAAAGAATAAAAAAGACTTGGGATTTCAGAAAGTGAAGAATACTGCCAAGAGTATGTTTTCAGTCGAAGTATCTGTGTCAAAATCGACGTGAAACATCCGATGATAAGCAAAACAAATTAAACCACTTGCAGCAGTGGTAAAGAAATTCTTCAACTCAAACATATTTATGTTGGAGTACAAGTCAACATAACAGTTTGACTAACAAATGAAAAGAAGAGGTACTTGTACCCCAGAAAAACATCAGTTCATCCGAAGATCAAGTCAAGTGGCCTGAAAACAAGTGGAGTCAACTGCATTTATATATTTTCTCATCATTTAAGCTTGCGGCTCAAAACACTACATCCCACCCATGATCAGACAATCAATTTTATTTATTAACAAAACTTACAGATTGGCCTTCCTTGGGCATCTGAATAAGTTGATGTTTGGATGGAGCAACTCTCAAGGTTCTCCCCCAGACCTTTGCCTTGTCCAAGTATGTGATAGCTGGGTTGGAGAAAAAGAGCAAATGAAAATGAAATATCCTAAGGTACACCAAAAGGCTTACTTTCCTTCAATTACATGGTTTTAACTCATTCGCTACGTATTATTTTCGGATTGTGGTCGAATTTTTTCATGGGGGCGAAATGAGATGGTGACTAGTGCGCAGTTCACAGGTCTTTGGGGTCACAAATTCAAATAAACATCAACATATATACCAAAATTTTCAGTATGGTTTTTAGAATACACCTGTAATGTTCATTTGTGTATTTTTCAACTTTGGTTCATGTAAGAGGCGATTATGCAAAACAATTTTGCTTGGATGTGGCTAAAACTTGAAAATAAAAAATTAATAATCTTTGCACCTAGTCAAAATAACCATAAATGAATAGAACCGAAAAATATTTAAAATCACCAAAAAAATAGTGATTTTGGGGAGACAAAATATTTTGACAATTTGGATCTATATCTAGCACTGAAAAATATTGATTTCTCAATAACAGAGCACTGGCAAATCTGAGTCCAAAAGTATCAATATTCTAAAGAAGATGCCTTCTTTTCTTTAGTGAGCAAAATAATTATAAATTTTGTAGTGTAAAAGTACTAAGACTGGAGTCTGGGCTATAATTTGGGCATCGCGATAAAACCAAAGTTGCATAAACTTCGAAATCACGTTTCAAAACAATCTAAGCTTCCGATTTTCTGTGGAAACGCCTGACCCGGAAGTAAACTTTATATTATAACTTTAATTTTAACATGGATGGATTTGAACATCTAAGCTAGAATTATAGGCCGGTTCTCGAGTCGTAGCGAAGTCACTTTCGCCGAGCCGCGCGTTTCAAAACAATCTAAGCCTTCAATTTTCAGTGGAAACGCTTGACCCGGAAGTAAACATATTATAACTCTTATTTTAACACGGATATGTGGATTGGAATAATATATAAGCTAGAATTATAGGTCGGTTCTCGAGCCGTAGCGAAGTCGCTTTCGCCGCAGCGAATGAGTTAAAAAAGTATATTTGTTTGTTTGTTTGTGTATGTGTTTTACGGCACTATCGACACAATTTTGGTCATTTAAGCGCCATCAGGTTTCATCGCTACAAAATCAGACGTGTTTTTAGTAAGAGTCTTTCGGAGCTCGCAACCGCAAACGATCACACTATTTCCATTATGCTAAAAAGACGAACAAACATTTATAAAAAATTTTTTTTGTAAATATGGAAAAGGCTTATTTACATTTGTATATACAATATAAATTTCAGTGTATGTATATATACACCGATATCGATAACTATATATTTCATATTCTATTAAATAGTCCAATTTCTTTTATATAACTTAAAATTTTTCTAGGCTCTATGATGTCAAAAAGGGTCTTAATATCTTTACATTTAAAATATTTTTCCCGCACATATTTAAATTCGACACATTCCGTTTGAGGTGGACTAAACAAGAAAGTACTGCAGACTGTTGGCTATTCGAGACAACTTTGCATCAAATTTTATAACAACGTTCAGAAATACTTGCATATGTACTCTTAAACCCGAACAATTAAAATTCAATTTTCTTCAAATTTTGCTTGAATGACATCACATCAAATAACTGCCACCCCCAGAGGTTCATCAAATGGAAAACACTGCCACACCCAGCTCCCACTCCTGATTTGGTACCTTCAGACTTTCACTCCTATGAAAGAAGCATCGAGAGATCAACACTACAGGAAATGAACAGACCTTAGCCTCTGTGAAAAATTTGGTTTGAGACCAAGTTACAATCAAACCAACAAAACTTTTTTTACTTCCCCTCATACATTTGCTGTGGGTCGGCAAAAGGTAGCTTGAAAAATTGCATAGCTGACACTAATGTTCTTGGGCATAGAGTTTTGAAAATTTAAGCACGCTATTTGTACCTCCAAAACAGATGTGGGGAAAGTAAAAAAAAAGATTACTCTCGACTTTTGATCACCGATATAAATCTAGTTGAAAGCCACTGATGGGCTATAAGAAAGACGAACCTTTTGTGCAATACAATCATGGCTGATCTATAAACAACAGCTGGGCAAAGTTTATCACAAAGACAAAAATTAACTATTTGACTACAAACAACCATCTCACCTTGCTGGGCTTGTGTGGGATCAGCCATCTGTACAAGAGCATTGTCCTTCTTGTTGAACAAGATCTTCACGCGGTGCACGTTACCATAAACACCTGGGTGAGGATGGCAAATACGGTTAGTAATACATTAACCTAATATCGAACAGGAGTAGATCATTTGAGATAGAAGTTTTTGGGGGGGTTTTTTTAGTTTCGTTTTCAGCAGGATTTTTCCAACAAAAGGAAAAATTGCCCCATCGAACATTCTCAATCACTACTGAGAGAAGGTAGAGATGGTGAATTGAACCCGTCAGATAAAAAGTATGACTTACCTCAGATCAGCATTTAACATGTGCAAAACATTATACAATAAAAGCTTTACATAACAGAACGCCAAAAAAACTAAAACAATATCACACTGATGACCAATACTTGGCAAATACTACTCTGACTTTACCCCAACAAACATTTCTTGATATACAAGAAGTGCAGATCTAAAAGATTTAACAAATGCGAGTGATATAGTAACTACACATCTAAACAGAAGGGAAATTCAGCCTGCAAAATGCTAACTACCATAATAAAGTCTTTGACACTAGCCATTTATGAGGACTAACGACATTTTTTAAGATTCCAAACAATTCCTGAAAACCAAAAGTAACCATTCTTGAGATTGCTTACTCCTTTTCAACCACGAGTCCCTTTAATAATGTAGATAAGTTGGTGACTAACAAGTTCATCTCACAACATCCAATTAGCCCTCTCTCATAATAATCCAATAAGATTCACAATAACAAAATATTAGGGCAAATGTTCAGTCCAAGGGTCAAGCAAGAGGACTTCCAATTGACCATTTAATTGCTTTTCTTTTTTTTTTAATACAGAGAAATGACCAAAGCAAAGCATCCGCACGCAGGGTGTCAAAATGTCCTAGACAACATTTTGCAGGCTGTCACATGTTTTAAAAGAAAAACAAAAAACCAATAGCATTGTAACTGTTTATGAAGTGTCATCTTAAGGTTCACTCCACATAACCTGAAACTGGAAAGTGTGGCAAAGAAGACAGCATTTTATAAAACAACAAGCAATGAGCTCGGTGCATACGCTGAGACCATGAAAAACAGAAACTATAGTTGTGACTGACAAAAGAATTTGCCTTTCTGCCAAAAGAAAAGAAATGGACATTCTATCTGATAAAGAGCCACTTCAGAAGAAAAAAGAGTTTTCTAATTTTATTTTTTAATTTCAGTTATAAGGAATAATGCTCATGACGCTTGTTGGTTTTATCTTTTTGTTTCCAGTTTCGTGCAAAGAGGTTTACACAAGAAAAACTGTTGCCAATGTATTTTGATAAAGATGAAGGTTAGGTATTAAAGAAAGATGTCAAAAGAATGAGGAAAACAAAAAGTTTCAAAATCTCAGCAGTCTATAATTAAACAGAACACAAGATTATGCATATTTCTAGTAAGGAGGAGAGCGAGCAGCAGCAACTATCTTCTTCGCAAGGGGCAGACCCAGTAGAGGAATAGATCAAAGAAAATAAGTAGTCTTTGCAAAAGTCTTAGTTTTAGTTATAGACTGTAATCAACTATCAGAAAAGGTGGGGGGGCAGAGTATATTGAAAGGCGTAAAAGTTTTGTTGTCCACTAGGAAGTAGAAAGTATTTAGAAAGTTGTTAAAAAAAAAAAAAGAAAGAAAGGAATAAAAATACAACAAAAACATTGGCAACATGACCAAGAAAATTGTGAAGTATAAAAGGAAAGTAAGGTTTGACATACCAAACAGTATAAAAAGAGCCTCTGGTGTAACCTTCTATAAATTTTGAGAACGCAGTTGGCGTTTTTTTTTTATTTATAGCAAGGCAGCGTGAGACGGACAAATGGACCAGAGGCAGTAGTAAATTGACGAGTTTTCAAAGATTGGAGAAATCAGTCGAGGTAGGCAGCAACAGCAATCGTGGCAGCGAGTTCAGCGTAGATCAGATCAGACCAGACCAGACCAGACCAGACATAGGTAGTCCAGCGACACATCAGGATGAGATGAGGGGATGGATTTGTTTGGTTGGGGGCATTGGGGAAGATGAGAAAAGACAAAAAAAAGAAAATGCATGAAAATTGGTGTAATGCTAGCTTCCTTGATATTTGCTGCAACAGAAGAAAGGGAAAGTACTTTCAAACGGTTTGCAATAAGGAGACATAGATTTCCTTCAAATCCAAAATAAGATTTGTTCTCAACACCATACATTAAATCAACATGAAAAGCACATTGAAAACAAAACAAAATACATATATACGACTTAAAAGATGGGGGTTTCTTTTTTCAAAGTTCCGATCACATCGGATTGCACAACTAAATACTTCAACTCCGAAGATCTCACCACCAGAAGTCTCTCCAAAACACTCCTCTACATCCACAACACAGTGCTCGACTTGCCTCACAAGAACAAAAAGCAGTATATGCAGAGTACAAAGACGAACTCTTTCAGGACAGTAACTTTTCAATTTACTTCCAATTAACTACAAAAGCTACCCTTATAAAAATCCTTACTGACAAACATGCAGTGCATGCATAAATTAAACCAAACTCATTGTATTAAGGTTTCACATGATCTTATTTCAAATGAAACAGCAAGAGGAAAAAAAAAAACATGCAGAAAATCCATGCAGAAAATAAATCTAATCAAACAGCGTCGTGTTTTTAAGTATCTATGTTAACTACCTATTCACACCAAGGGAGCGGTCACAAAAACAAACCTAAAAAAAATTTTTAAAAAAGAAAGAAAAAAAAAGTATTGCTTTAGAATACTTATAACATTATCGACAACATCAAGTGGAAGTGCTATGCAACACAACTATCACTTTGCACAAACTGACAAAACTTATGTCCCGTCATACGCGTCAACCATTTCAACAGAGGGTCACATTATTTCTAACCTTAGGAGACCAAAGAGAGAAGATATTTGCAGGTACAAACTGTCAGTGGCATTACACACATCCACAACTTTAACACAATCAACCTCGTCACATACCTCCTCATCCAGGTTAGAAACAAGAATGCATGGAGATCCTTGGTTGGAGTTCACACCCATGTTGCCCATTCGGTTGCCCATGCCATTGCCAAAGTTGAATCCACCACCGAGTCCCATGGCATTGGCACCTTCAAAGAGAACATTATGAAAACTAATGAAATTATCTGCCCTTTTTCATCATCGAAATATTTTTAACAGTTGAGCTTTCTAAAAATAAGATCCAACCTTGCAGTCAAACACAGACCTGTCATTCTATGAAATTTAAAAATCAGGATCTCAAGGGGGAAATCTGGATCTGGGGGGAAAAAATCGGGACCAACGACAAATCGCCAGGGTGACTGCCAAGCCGACTTTAAAATTTACCATGGGTGTCATATCTGACGCAACAGATGGAACAAACAAAAAATCGGGATACATGCAATCGAAATCGGGAGTCTTGAGATTTGGGGCTTAAAAATCGGGATATCCCGATTGTCACTCATTACACATTAATATGATTTATCCATGCAGCCCGACACAACCCACAGTAGTCAACAAACAGATCTTCCCAAACATTTGGTAACACTTACCAGATCCAAGAACACCAGCACCGCCCATTCCACCTCCCATTCCGCCTCCCATGCCACCACCCATTCCTCCTCCCATGCCACCGCCCATTCCTCCCATGCCTCCTGGGGAATTTTAGAAAGGGAGAAATAGTTAAATGGTGAAATCTAAATCATTATACAAACACACCACATCGAAAGACAATTGCACAAGCACAGGGGAAAAAGAACTGACTCAAACAAATTTTAGTAAGAGTTTTACAGCACTTGCAACAGAGAAAGGTCATTAAAATGCTAAATTTTACAAAGTTTTAGTTTTAGTACGAGTTTTATGGCATTTGCAAAACAATAACGTCATATAAGTGCCAAAGAATAGGTGTTACAAGAGAGTAACAAATACAAAAAAGGAGGGGAGGAATGGACGATAGATGTTTGATAGGAAAGAAGAAGCAAACCACATCAGGGCACCTGCCATCCACCCACTAATTTTACAAAGGTTACACCAAGGCAGCAACAAATACAGAGATCAGGACGATATGTTGTTTAGTATGGGGTATTACGGCGCTCGAAACTGCATAAGGTCATAAGAGCGTGCGAAACAAGTTGGGGTTTTTTTCTCAATAGCTCACTGCTCAGCCTGATTCTGGTCAGTATTATTAATTTAAATTTTTAAAGGTTAAAAATCGAGTGTGAATAGATTTTACATAATTTAAAACAACTTTCTAAATAACACTAAAATTTCACACAATAAGCCCCCCTACACAAAACATTACTGCAAATAGTCTCTGACCAGGATGGATTTTTTTTCACGAACTTTCACGGAATTTTTCCATTTGCGAAAATCTGGTAATTTGGGGAAAACTGGAAGCTCTGAGATTAAAGCACACTAAACTAAGGACAATTGCACAACTTACCACCCATTCCCATTCCACCATCAAGCATTCCTTCTCCAGCAGGGAGATCTGGTCGAGTGAAGTCTCTGCTCTTGTCATTGTTGTACTTGACATTCAGGTTGGTCAGACGAGAGTAGTCAATCTTGAGGGTATTGCACCCATTGTAGATGTTCTGACTGTCCAGGGACTAATTTTTTTTTTTCATAAATAAAAATAATGTCAGCATTTGAACAAATCAATAGGGTTAAATACAAACATGGCAATCTAATTGCACCCATTGTAGATGTTCCGACTCTCTAGGGACTTTAAAAATTTTTTTTTAAAATAATAGCATTTGAACACATCAATGGGGTTAAATACAAACATGGCAATCTATTCTTACAATGTACATTTCTTAAGAATGAAATACAAGACACAAAATAGACCAAGAGTGAATCAATTGCATAGTTTGTGCAGCAGGCAAACTAGAAGACAACATTATCAGGCAATATCATTTGTGGACAAAATTTATTTCATTCACAACTTTGGGGGGGGGGAAAACCCACAAACATAAACAACTTACATCCTTAGCAGTTGCAGCAGAAATCGGGTCAGAGAACTGAATGAGAGCCTGGAATGTGTCTGGAAAGAAAAATCCGCACGCCTTAAAATAAATTGATACACAGAACACAGGAAATTATTCAGACCCCCAAAAATTAAATTGAAGCATTGTACTGTATCAAATTGCACCCAACCATTATAATACAAGCATAGCTGACATTATACCCCAACAAAATAGAATATTTATAAATATAACATCTAGCGCAGCTCTGCTGAGCAAGACTTAATTTTTAAGAAATTTTTTAAGTTGTAAGTTTTTGAATGAATGAAGACTAGGTTGAAAACAAAACTGACCCACAATAATATGATAAACTAGCAATCAGTAGTTCTATATAAGCCTGAGTAATAAAATTAACAAAGGTAATATGACATAAAACTTACTGTTCTTTGTAAATGTGATGATCTTCATGATTTTTCCGAACCTGGAGAAGAGCTGAAAATTGAAATAAAATCTATGAAAAACATGGCACATGTGTAAACTTTACAACTCCAAAACAAAAATGTCAGACACGAACACTAAAATTTTCGTTTTCACAATGAGCAAAAGATGAGAAACAGGTATTGTCTAAATTAAGTCCATTCAACAGTTTTTCTTAAACAAGGGCAGTACAGGTTTGCACTAATGTGCCTCTGGAAACAAAAACCACAATAACACTTTTTCTGCCACTATCCCACTTATGGTAAAAGGGACCCGTTTTCCTCAATTGCAGAAAAGTAATTTGACGTCAAAGGATTGTGACCGAGCCGCTCTCACCAGCACAGCCGTCACAGAGATAAGGAATTAACCTCCATAGAATTTTAGAATAGGGTTTTACGGCGCTCGCAACTGCATAAGGTCATATGAGCGCCAAAGAGAATACGTGAAAAAAAGGGGGTGGGTGGGACATTGGGTAGAGGCTGTAAGGGATACGGCAACATTGCTATACAAATGCAAGATGCTACCCCAGCAGCATATTTGTAAATGAAATCCTCCCATTGAAATCAAACTACATTTGGCGCTTGTATGTCTTACAGAATGAGGGTACATGTATTTATTAATGCTTCCAACAGAGAAAATTGAAAATTCTATGCCAGGGGTCTCGGGGTCACACAACCATACTCATCGGGGGAACAGGAAGCCACACCTCTCTAAGAAATTTCAATTTAGTGCTTTTTAAAGGATTGGAAAACATTTTTTCCTCCAAGATTTTGATACATCCAATTTCATCATCATCAGTGTCTAACCGTGCATCCACTGAATTAAATCAAGCACTTTTTGTCTTTCCGTTACGACAATTGATAATACGATACTGCCCAATGGTGACAAACACTTTTCACATAAGAAACCACATTTTTTTTTATTTGCTACATTGATAGCTTGATCAGTCACCCTACTTGTTTAAAAATCAAAGAGAAACTGAGCGTGGCGTTTACTGCAATTCAGAGATTTTAATTTTCAAAATAAAGGAGTTTTTTAACTGCCTTCATTACCTGATGCAGAACCTCCAAAGTGACAGGGTAGAGAACATTGTCAACAATAACTCGCAGAATGGTTGTCTGTTCTCCTCCTGCTGCTCCTCCTCCGGGTGCAGTGCCAGAGCCAAGCAATCCCTGTGCTGCCTGGAGAGCAGCCTGTGCACTCGTGTTCTGAGAGGACAACAAGAAATACATGTAAAGATGCCATTTTAAGAAATCTATTCAACTAAAATCAGTAACAACTTCAGAGAGTCTCTTGCCATCCTTCAATTCTCTGAAGGTACTTTACTTTCCTCACACTACAAAAAACACGTATATTCCTGGTGTCCTTACACAGAAAATACGGTCTCAATTCAATTCACACAGAAAATAAGGTCTCAATTCAATTCATATTACTTTAACATGGAAATACAATCTAGCACACACACAGCATGATCAGAGGAGCAAGGAAATAGTTTCATTCTGTACAAATTTCAGACTATATCCAGAGAAATACACAAAGATTGACAATTAGGTTGAAATTAACATGAATCATGCTCTTTATGCTACATCAACAGGTGTGTTGCATTCAATTCATAGTTGCTTAAACATTTTGCAGATCTTGACAGATATTTCGTTCACCTCTGCAATGACCAGCCATCTATGTTACATAACCGATAAGCCTTTCCACATATTTTTGCTCAACCACGTAGACATAATAAAGAACTCTGGCAGACTGTTGCGAGGTGTGTAATCCCAGTTGAAGAGGAATCACACTGATATACATTGCAACAACACCGGATATGTACCTTCAGAGGATTGTAGACTCCCAATCGCAACTTAAACGTGCAGGCTAAATTTACTGTTGAACACTATTAACTGTGACATATACATAATACATCCTTGGCCTACACTCATACTGTGCCCGTTTCTCTCATCCAGCTACCTCGGCAGGGACGAACTCTGCACTTTTGTTTGATAAGACCTACCTTCACCGGCACTAATTGTTTTTGCTATGCGCACATTTTGCAAAGAAGAAAAAATTCAGGACCAAAAAAGAATCTGTTCATTATGTGCGTGCTAGACTGTACATGAGATATGATGCTTCAGTGTATAGTAATATCATATTATAATCAAATTTAGATGACACAATACAATTCATCATAAGCATCATAGAGGGGAGACCTGCCCACAAAAAAACTCTTCGGAGTAATTGAATGAAATGCAAGCAAGATAACCAAATCTTAAATCTATGGATTTTGGTAGTAAGAGGTTTTACGGCACTTGCCACACAATAAGGTCATATAAGTGCCGGAGAATAGATGTGTTACTTGCCTTTTGCTTTTGTAAAGTGTTTTACGGCGCTCGCAACTGCATAAGGTCATATGAGCGCGCGGGACACACCTAATATTTTCAGTTGGTAGGAAATTTTGAGTTTTGCCCGGGTGGCGGCCGAAGCCTACTCTTATCGATTTTAGACCACCAAGGGATCTTTAACGTGCGCAACTTGCACACGGGCCCTCCGAGATTTTTCGCCCTTGTCCGAGAAGGCTAGGTGTAGATCTTTCCTACCAGAAGATCAGGGGTGTGGCAGAAAGACAGCAGTAAGGAGGAGCCAAGGAGTAACAGTAGAAAGGCTGCAGAAAGAGTCGGGAGCCCAGAGGAGGGGGCAAAGGAGGTGAAGGGGTGGGGGCAGAAAGTGGAAATGAAAGCAGACAACAGAACATTGCTAGAGAGCAGGAAAGGAGGTGAAAGGAGACAATTTTAGAGAATAAATTTTTTGGTCGCTACCCGGATTCGAACCCGGGACCTTTGAATGAGAGGCCAACACCTTAACCTCTAGGCCACGAGAGCCCCCATAGATGTGTTACAAGAGAGTAACAAAAAGGAGGGGAGATAAGGATGATAGATGTTCGATAGGAAAGAAAGAGCAAACCACACCAAAGCACCCGCCAACCACCCAAAAATCTATGTTCAGTTTAGTTTAGTATGGGGTTTTACGGCACTCACAACTGCATAAGATCTATTGTTTACTCAGATTTTCAGAAAAGGCACACTGCAAGAAAAGTATCAATTTTTAAAAGTTGTTTATACACAAATACCAGCTTGTTCCATTTCCGACAATTTCCCCCCCCCCCCACAATAACACAGAACAAAGACAAAATACTAACACTGTGGGTGGTTCAAAAGACATTACAAAAATTAAATGTTCTTGCATCTACAAAAAGTCAACATTCTAGAAGTCAACCTGAAGTTGGTCACTAGAGCTTACCTGAACATTGGCTGCATCTGTTTTCAGCTCTTTGTGGTTTGAGTACTGAACGTAACAAGACTTCAGTCGCACTTGAGCTGGGTTGGTCTTGAAATATGTGACCATATTGACAGCACACGACTCTTCTTCAAACTCCAGAAAAGCCTACAATAATAAAAGGAATCACCATGATATGAGAACCAAGGAGAATAGGGATAAAAATTCTTAACGCTTACTATATGACCAGTGTAAAAATCAAAGACAGTCAACTAAAGCTACTACTGACCAGTCAAAAACAGTATCTCGAGGGATGAAACAAGCATTAACTAGGAGCTAAAAATATGTACAGATAAGATTATAATAAATTCCTTGAGTTTTAACATAGAAAATAGCTGACTTACAGCATACACAGTTTTATTTCAATTCAAGATAGCAGACCTGCCACCCTATGAAATCTAAAAATCAGGATCTCAGGGGGACATAAATCGCGATTTGGTGAAAAGAATCGGATCAAAGACATATCACCAGGGTGACTGCCAAGCTAACATTTTACATAGGTGCCCATAATTATCCACGTATATGCCCTTCGAGTGTGCGCGCTTGTGCGAGCATTTTTTTCTTGAAATCCCGAAGTACCCCGCCAAGGACTCCTAGCCCAAGTGTCTACACCCCCTCCTCTCCACGAAGTCACAAAAGACGTTTCAACCAGTGTGCATGAACTTTAAGTTGACCCCATCAACAGAAGGTTCCCAGCACATGCAAAACTCACACACCAAGGTCATGAGATGCAAACACCAACTGAAGCAGTTTTAATGATGGGTCTTGGGGAGTCCCAACAAACCAGAACTTGGACAAAGCTTGTTTTGAAACTAACAACAGAATTAGGAATAGTATTGATCATTTATATGTATATATATCACAGTTGAAACAGTTATCAGGCCATCATCTGAGAATTCTGAGTGGAAACGAAATCGAAAGTAGGTCTCGAGAATGTCCCAAGTCGGAATGCCAAATTGATCAAAGATCCAACACAACTTGGAGCATGTCAACTACTAAATCCGGCATTCATATTTCGGAAAATAGTGCTCCGAGTTCGTGCTGACAAGTTTTAAATGCGCGCTTTACGGGACAGAGTAAATCTTTAGAAAAATCCAGTGCAACAGGTGGCACCAAAAAATCAGGATGCTTGAGATTTGAGGCAAAAAATCAGGACATCCTGATTGAATCTGGATGAGTGGCAGGTCTGTGATAGTCATATAAGCAAAACGAAGGATAACAAAATTAAACCATTTCTACATCATATTCCTCATTTCAAGGTTCCCACATTTTTGTTTCTTTTAAAGGAAAAAAACTTAGCATGAGTTTACATACAGGGTTAAATGAAGTTATCTTCGGGCTCCCTCAAAAACACTTCAAAATTGTGCTTCTAAGGAAACAAGAACCTATTCCCAGACAATTAGAACAGGACAAACAATCAAGCATACTAAGAAATGATACCTGGTTCTTCTGCTTCAACACAAGTACATTTGTCATTTTGCCAAAAGGCATGCCCAGTTGTACAACATCAGTTTCTGCAGCATCATTCGGCAGGCTTCTGATATGAACGACTCGAGATGGTGGGTTTCCATTGTCAAACTTGGCCTACGTAGACAAAGTATATCTTTTATTAAAAGCAGTCGTAAACACAAGAGTAAACAAATTAATACTGTTTATGTTAAATATTTTCTTTAACTGTCAAAAGATGGTGAAATGTTATAGTTGGGACTATCAACACTATTATTTTCAAAGGTGCTTAATGAAGTCTACACTAGAAGATTAGCATGCTAACTGATGAAAGTACTATTGTAAGTTATTGTTGAAACCATTTCAAGAATTGTGCACCCTGTGTAATGTTTACTTGTGTGAGTAAGGACAACCCATTATCATACTCGCAGGGTACAAGTATCATTCTAATAAAACTGACTTTAACAAAGATCAAAGCCAAGATCAAGGACAGGGACAATTTCTAATTTCCTCTTATCTGACTTCCACAATGAAAGGGGCAATCAAATTCATTTACTCAGTCCACAAACCTTTTTGGCATCATTTGAGTCTCCCATTCCATCAGCAACCTGCATGTCATCAGGACCACGCTGAAAATCAAATATTTACCTTGTTAAAAAGAGGCATAGATCTATCCTTCATAGATTTTTTTTCACTTGATGCAACAAAATGATAATTCAACAAAAGCAACTACACATATCTCCAATAACTGAAAGTTCAAACTCTAGATTTATAACAAATGTCTTTTGTGGAAAAGAAAACCCTACTTTGATACTTAACTAAATGAGGAAAGAAGTAAACCCATAAACATGGAGGAGAGGAAGAATCACTATCAGTTTTAGTAAGCCTATACTATACGTATCACATGTCCACAAATAACCAGGCACTTCACTCACTGCTAGTCTTGGCACAAATCAGTATGCTGTCTGCCCAGTTTTTTGTCTGTTTTTGTTTTTGTGTGGGGGTGGGGGTGGTGGTGGTTGGTAGTGTCAATGCCACCGAGTAAATTGGAGCTCTTTTGCGTTAATGAGTAGATCTAGCCTATGTGTGCTCCATGTTCTGCGTTCATGAACTTCCGCTTACACACGCCTCTCTGTGTGTGTCTCTCCCTCCCTCTCCATAAACCCCGTATTTATGTTCCCCGATATATATAAGCGCATTTCTGCTTGAGTTTGTGTTCGTTTGTGGCCTACTTCTAGAATCGCCCGTGTTGGTTTTACAGGTTGGTAGCTCTAGATGTTCGTCCAATGAAATTAGAGAACAAATTGACCCACTTAGACGTGAGGAGCTCGAAAGGAGAGCCAGGAAACAAGACTTCCATTTTCCTGTTCACAAAGTCTTTCATGAACTTGAATTTGTGCAAAACGATTACCTGATAAAAAAAAGTTTATAGTTTTGAATACCATTTTGTAGTACAAAACATTCAGAAATTGACCTAGAATCTATACTATTTCCTTTCGAACCCAGGAATGTGTGTTACTACTCAAAATGACTTAAGTAGATCTGGATCTAATGAGAGGGGGTTAGATCTAACTTTTTCATGTCATGTGTTCCTGACACATTATGAATAGAAAGCTAAAGATAGAGCATTGTTTTCAGACTTGACACCACTTCACTCAGTAGCAATTGACACTGGTGTCAATATTGCCACTGCGCCACTCGGTGGCAATAGATGCTACCTTTTTTTTTCCTCTACACATAACACATCTTAAAAAATCAATCACGCCCCCACATGACCGAAGCCGGGGAGCTACTGCTGAGTCTTGCTACCTGAAAGTCACAGAAGTAGAGACTTATGAGAAAAAGTAATGCCGTGGTTAATAATAATGATATAGGCTTCCATAATAACAACAATATTTGTTCCAGACTTTTATCGAATCAAAACAACTACTGTGTACAGGAATACTGACCTTCATGCCGGAGCTGTTGTATAGATCTCTGAAATAAAAAAACACCAGAAATTTTAATAGAAAGACCCCCCTTGCAACCAAACATCCCAATCATAAATTATATAAATCAGTGTCTACACAAAGCAGAAGACTAAAGCAATGGGCGAGAAATCAATTTGAAAAAAGTACCAGAGCACAACTTTCTACGCTTGTGGCAAGACTGTAATTCCAAAAATAGCCTGAGTTTCTTGGCAAGATTTTCATTTGCCCTGAACTGAAAATAAAACCCAGAAAATTACACTTAGAAAACTAGGCTACCCCATAACCGTAATAACGATCATCTCTAGCAGTGCTAGAGACACCGATTTGTTATCATAAGATGGTTGCCCGGTTGCCAGGGTGCCTTTCACTCATGGGAAAATAAAGTATGCAATGCTAAAATACTAAAACTAAACCATGTAATATTAAGAAGTAGAAAATAAGGGAAAAGACCTCAGATTGAGAGAGAAGACGTAGAAATGGGACCCTATCTCCCTCTAAAAAAAAATTAACCCGAGTGGCAATTTTAATGAGTGAGCATAAAATATGTAACCTTGTCTAAAATTTTACTGCCACATCGCCATGCATATTTTTTGCTGGAGAAGTACAAACCTACTACATCTAGCCAAGGACATTAAAACCGTCAGATTAACTGTTTCAAGTAGATCTAGACCTAAATCTCAAACTTGACAAAATTATAGAGAAAAAGGCATCTCACAGCCTTGCCCGCGGAACTGCTTGTCAGCGCGTAGAGAACTATGAGTGCGTAGTTACCACAGGCCCCTACGGGTGGTCCGGTAAAGTACAATCCAGCCTTTATGTTTGGTATTTTTTTACTTTTCCATGTGAGTGTACATGTGTCTCGACTGACCAACAAATTTTCCCCATAATTATAACTTGTTGCTTTGTAGATCTAGATCTAGTGGTGAAGCATGCACATTCTGGTTTTGTCCCCAAGAGGAGCTCTGTACAAAGTAGGCCTTAGTATAGCCTATACTTTTCCTTTTACCAATTCAGGCCTGGTTAAAGTTCAATGGTGGGTTTCCTTGGTCTGTGAGTCTATTTTTATTTTTAAATTTTAGGCTCAGGAGAAGAAAAAAAAACCTTCCGGGACCGGGATTCGATGCCGCGCTTGGACGCACTGAACATTAGGCCTAGCGAAACAGCATGTACGTTCTCTAGGCCTAACTTAAAGACAATATTTTTAGGTAGACCTAGAATCTATTGTATGACGACACTGCGGAGAGGAAATACTGCTTATACTTGTTATTGTTATCCAAGCCTCTTTCGACTTACTTGCTCAAACTCAGAGATGCCAACCACAGAAAACCGAAATGAGTATTGGGAAATATGAAAATGTGTATTTTCGGGGGAAAATGTGTATTCCACACGACCGACCGACCAACCAACTAGTAAAGTGTCCAGCAATATTTCCTGGAAAAAATTTACTAGCTCACCAGCTCGAAAAATGGAGCACACACGCATACAATAAACATGTATCCAGTCAACAACATGTCAGTGTTCAGTGTCGTACTGACGTCTTGTTTGACTTAAGTATTTCAGTCTGTTATAATATTTTCCTCTAGTTATTATTATAAAAAATTAATCCTGTTTTGAGCGTTCAGAAGGGCCTAGAACAAGAATTTCGACTATCAAGAACCAGTCTGGGTGTCATGATTCATATGAACTGACAGACTCAGAGAAGAGCAATAACTTGAATGGCTCAAGTAGACCCACGCAGTGTGAGAGTTGTAACACCTGTGGGAGGGCAAGATGCAGTGACACTGAAAATCTGCCAGTCTTGAACAGAAAGCTTCAACATACACTGTAGGTATAATTTACTATCACCCACCCAATGACACGTGAACATTTTATTTCAATAACACAGACTTGCAAAGTATGAAAGGTCCCGATTCCGCACACGGCCTGCACCAACGCGCGCTTTGCAGAAAGCTCTAATCAAAATTCTGAAATTTGCTCCCAAGTCTTTGTCCTCTGGTGTTGCCTTCACACCCCCCCCCCCGGCATACAAAAAAATTAATAATCCCTTCCCGTAGTCCTATACTTGGCAACGCCGTTACTCCCACCAAACACGGTCTTTGATCATACGATGTCGCATTAATACGTGATGCGAATGCGCGCAGGTTCATTGACCGGTCACGATGGTGAGCCCGACAATCTAAAACTCGGACGACGCTTGTATTTTCTTTTCTTTTTTTCCTAGAAGTGACAGCACAGAGACGAGTTCAAGAAATTTTATTTGCACGGCAACACAGCGTTTACACTGCAAAACCTGCATGTCAGAAATAAGTTGCGTTATCAGTCTACCACTGGCAAACTTCTCGGTGGTACCGAAACCGAAAGTAGATCTTGATTTTCCCGATCAAGCCTCGGTGTCACATACACTTCCGTCTGCCGCTATCGCCGCCTGTTCGAGTGAAAGTGAAACGTACTCTCGGAGGAGGAAAGGCTAAACGAATATAATATCACAATTGCGACCGCCAAAAATGAACTTACTGGACTTATCGGACTTGGTTTCAAAAATTCCAGTTCCGCGATACTGATACTATTTTGACAAAAGAGGGGACCTGAGATAATTAGGTTTACTCGCCCAAACGATCTCGTATTTTTCGCATTCCAGGATGCGTATTTTTTCAGGAAAAGTCGTATTCACGTATTTTCGGCAAAAAATCGTACTAAAATACGTAAAATCGTACCGGTTGGCATCTCTGCAAACTCAAAACTCAAATGATTGTGATTATGAGAGATGAACAAGACTACGTCTAGTCTACGTTTGTGCAAACAATGTCAAAACAATTGTTAGATCTAATCTAGATCTACACAATATTGATCGGAATAATACATCATAAAAAAGGAGTTTAAATCCTAGGAGGTTTATATCAAGAAACTGAGAAAGCTTCCACAATTCAATCAGAACTACAATATTATCATGTAGAAACGATGGCTACTAGATCTAAATTTTTGGGAAAGATTGCACTTTACCGGACCACCGCTATGGCGCCCCTGGTGCCTAGTGGCCCGCTATTCTTCCTTTCCGAGCTCCCCTACTCACTTTTATACGTCCTCACCCTTCGACTGCCAACAACCAACTGACTCTTACTGGGTTTTTAGGTCATCACGACCATGCTACAGTGCCCTTTGCATACCTGCCAACATTGCCTGGGCTAAAATCCTAAAAAATCTGTAGTAGACTATATTACCACTTGCCGCATAATTGGGGACCCTTATCACAAAAGAGTTCCCCTCCCGGGTCTGTATACTTCATGACTCTGTTCCCGGTTACTGTATACACTTCGTTTTTAAAATGTATATTAGTAATGAAGAATGCGGGAGGGGGGGTGGGGGGTGAGTAGATCTAGATCTAATCCTCCAGCGTCTTTACGGTAATTTTCATGCGGTTTATTGTCTTTGCGTTTACCGTGTTTCAATTTCAAGCATCAGCGCTCTTAATCTTACTGTTCTGAGCATCAGCGATCTTCGGGATACCCAATCTTCCATCATGTCCAAGTACTAGATCTAGGAAATCCGAAATGTTACCGAAAACACGCCATTCCATGCGGTACCTCCACGGCCTTCTTAAAATAGTCTGTGGGTATCCCTGGAAGTGATGGCATCACATTACTAAAAGTAGCAATGACAATGAAAAATTAAATTTTCATCCAAATTGCTTTAAAATGGGCTGAATGAAAATAGAATAAATTCTAAGAACTAAGGTTTTTAAATTTTAAAAATCCATTGACAAATTTTTTAAAAATTGGGATTTTTGTTTGCAAAATGGAGGACCTTCATATAGGACAAAATCGCCAAAATGTGGGACATGTTTTGATGTACTTTGAGGAAAAACTGTTCATAAGTCAGTAATGAATTGGAGCATATGAATGAAATTTGGCATCTTTATGTGATCTTTAGTGCAGAATCTAGTTCTGCTATCACCTTTTCAATGTCTTTATTACTTTGGATCTTAAAGACTGATATTTGCGTGAAATTTGTTGAATTGCGTGACTTTTTTACCGCGACGCGTCACTCCTAAAACCCAGTAAAGCGCTATCGGAAAAACCTGCGATGTAGTCATTGGTGACCTATTTGGTTATAGGCAGCCAATCACCTCGCGTTTGGAATGCGCGATCTAGTTTCCAGATATAGTGTTTTATCAATGGATGGGTGGTAATTTTGAGTTGGTACGTAAAATCTACTAAACGCAGAGATGTGAAATTTTACAGCAATAAAGAAGACATGGGCGCTTGTGTGGTCGGCGATCAACCCGCAGAGGAAATTCGCACAAACACGGCAATATCTCCGGTTTTAGTAATCGTTCGGGATTCTACGCTGGCATGTCGTTGGTTTAACCTTTCCTCTGGTTGGTTGCCGAGTTTCATTTATTTTCGTCCAAGAGTTTTCCCGTAACTATATCTATACTTAGAAGAGAGTCACTTCTGATTCCGAGCAGCCCAAAAATTACCCCTCGCGCGGAGGCCGATTCCCAGCCCAAGACGCAGCGGCGATTGGCATTGCTAGTAAAATCTACTAAACGCAGAGATCTGAAATTTTACAGCAATAAAGAGGGCATGTGGAGCGTTTGTGTGGTCGCTGATCAACCCGCAGCTCCGCTTAGTTTTCGAACCACACAGGAAATTCGCACTAACACGGCAATATCTCCGGTTCTAGTAATCGTTCGGGATTGTACGTTGGCATGTCGTTAGTTTAACCTTTCCTCTGGTTGGTTGCCGAGTTTCATTTATTTTCGTCCGGGAGTATTCCCGTAACTATACTTAGAAGAGTCACTTCTGATTCCGAGCGGCCCAAAAATTACCCCTCGCGCGGAAGCCGATTTCCGGCCCAAGGCGCAGCGGGCGATTGGCATTGCTACTAAAAGGCTGTCGTTATTCTCACCCGGGGTGAAAATAAAGGGAGTGTATACAGACTCAGTAACCGGGAACAAAGACACAAAGTATACAGACCCAGTAGGGGAACTCGTTTTGTGATTTCGGAAAGGAAGTGGCTATTCTCATCCGGGGTGAGAATAGAAAAACGATCTACCTCTCACCCCGGGTGAGACTTGCCAGCGTAGGCTATTCTCACCCGGTGCGAAACAAGACCTGCTTTTCCTCATTTTGGAATAGTCTATCGGTGTGGATGATCAAACTGATAAAAGCCAAGAAAAAATTACGTTATAGCACAAAAGTAAGCTAATTTGATCGTCTTCAAAGATGCTATGGCTATTTCAATGTTTGAATCGAGCCGAACTACGCGGGTCGTCATTTTGTTTTGCCCGGAAGTTCTCGCAAGATCTACTCCTCCCCCCCTCTCTCTCTCTGTCTCTTTCTGAATACTGTCTATCGGTGTGGATGATCAAATTGACCAAAACAAAGTTAAAAACTGATGTTAAAACACAAAAGTAAATTAATTTGGTTGTCTACAAAGATGCTACGGCTATTTAACTTTTCGAATCGAGCCGAACTACGCGGGTCGCCATTTTGTTTTGACCGGAAGTTCTCGCGCTACTCCTCTCTCTGTCTTTCTCTCTCTCTCCACTGCCCACATACAAAATTGTACGCTTTTAGTAGGCTACAGTTGTAATGGAACGTTTGTTCACGGCACAGAATTCTACAATTTTTCTGTTATCACAGTGTAGAATTCTGTGGTTTAGGGTGAACGCAAAATTTGTTGGCCTAGATCTAGGCTATAACGGTGAACGCGCACCGGGTGAGAATAGCCAAAAGACTAGCCTGCACTATTCTCATCCCGGGTGAGAATAGAGGTGGCCTTTCGGAAATTTTCAGCCCTCTCTCTCAGCTCAGGGTAAACCTAGGCTCTTCTAGATCTATGGCCTGGCCTAGGTCTAGACAGACAGACATAAATCATTGATCTAGTTTCGAGGCTTGCCTAGATCTAAATGAAGATTGCGGATGTCGCCTCCTGCGCTCAGCTCAGTGGAATGAGAGGGGGAGGCGAGTTTTGACACCGGAGCGCTCAGTAACATGGGCCCTATGAAGCCCGAAACGAAAAAACCAGGTGAGAATAGTAGGCTGCCGTTATTCTCACCCAACAGTATCAATTTTATTCTCACCCCAGGTGAGAAAAATATTCAGTTTATCCTAACCCTGGATGAGAATAATCACTCCGTCACTAAAATTAGAAGCCAATCAGAAAGATGCGTCTTCTACGTTTAACGGCATGTTGTGCTAGATATCTAGATCTAGATTTAGATTAGATCTAGAGTGGTGTAGCCCCTGCGCGTGCGCCTTCTCGGTGCGTGCACTTTTGTTTTCCTTTGTTTTTAGCCTCAAATTGCGTTTTTGCGTTTGATTGAATGCGTCAGTGTGTGCAGCAGCCATTTTTGTTTACTTCCATCACTCGTTTGCCGACAAGGGATCATCGAGAGTGTTTTTATCAGCTGTGGCAAGTTGACATTCAACGCTGACCTGTGAACTAGTTTTTATGACCTATTTGCCTCTGATTGGTTCAAATAGACTGTGCGCGCCCCCTAGCTTAAAAAATGTGCCTACTCCTTCCTTGAGTGTTTCACGTGACCTTTTATCGAGTTCTATGCCAAGTTGTATTGCGGGTTTCGGGATCGGGGGGGTGCACGCGTTGTGAAGACTGAAAAAACTCGAGTTTTCTCTGCGCGTGCACAATGAAATATATAGTAGAATACTAAGAAAAAAAGTAGACTCAATTTTAGAGATTATTTGGTTGCAGTTTGAAGAATGTCATGGATGGTGGCATGTGGACTGTGTGAAAGATGAAAAGATCAGAGGAATGAGTGATGAAGAGTAGGAAAATGTGGATTTTAGTTGTGAAAAATTCTGTTTGATTTTTTTTCATTGAACTATTTATACCCCCTAAATTAAATTAGTTTAGATTCTAATTAAAATTGCCTTACTTTGCTTCTAAAGTGACTTGTTATCTTCCTGTGTGGTCATTTAATGCAGTAATGTTATCAGATTCCTCTTCTTTTGGCTTTCAACGTGTATATATGGATGCACGCACAGTGAAGAATCCCATGCACGCACTGAGAAGAAATGCACGCTCAGTGAAGACAACACCCTAGGTTGGAAAAACTGTTCGGCACACAACGTTTAAGAAATCTGGCGACTATGAGCAAGACCATTTTATAGGTCAATAGTTTCTTGAATGGAATAGCTAAAAACGAAAGTACAAAGCCGGAAATGGCGGAAAATACGTTCAACGATCACGAAGTGCACGCGTACCGGCGACACCACTCTAGATCTAGATGCTTGCTGTAGTTTCATGTTGATCTAGATCTAGACGGCATCTCATGATCGCAGACCTCGCTGGCTGGGGAAAATCATAGTGCACAGTGAATCTAAACACACAGTCTGACACAGTAGCCTGTCTACTCAGTCAGCCTACACCACGCCTAAAACCGTGAAGAAACACCACTTTATCATGCTCAACAAGATCTACAAAAAAGGCAAATCAAACATATAATTACATTACATCCTTGCTCTGGACAAACAAGGTAAAACCCAATCCAAAAACACTTCTGTAACCTGGTGGCTTCGCTTCACCCAACCACCCAACGCTAAATTTCAAATGTTGGACACTGCATGGACATGGACCCGGCCGTCCTCCAAAACGGTTCGCAGTAGATCTACCACAGCTAGATTCTTTTATTATCTGATTTGGGACAGACCTGTCTAATGCAAAGGGACAGAAAAGCACAAAAAAGTGACAACATCGATAACGGAACAGGTCCGTTGAATTCATGGACATAGATCTACCCTACAATACAGACAGAAAACACCCTGTGGTGGCTGAAAATGGCTGTAATCGAGATCAGGCGCCCTCCTCGAGGAAACTAAAACGGCGTGGCAGCCTCGCAAAGCAAAACAAAGTAAATCAAATCGTGATAGATCAAAAATTATATCAAACAGATGGTATGTTATGCACTCAATTACCCGTCCATAATAAATTCTGCAAGAAGAAAGATTCTTTGAAATGTTGAGAAATTGCCTGAGCAAAAATGCGGCGGCCACAGCACGCGATACAGGAAGAAAGAAAGATGGCTAACTACGTCATAATAATATGCAAAAACGCGCAAGTACGAGATTCTCGTAGATTCCCAGACCAAAAAGGAGGCCTGGAATCAATTTTCCCAATAATAATATTATTCTAGTAAAATTAAAATATATTGGGGGAAACTATATAGGAATACATTTCAATTCATTACACATTGGATATATTTCAAATCTCAAATTAATGTTCTTTATAATGACTAGATCTATATCTTTGTTTGTTTAGAGAGTAAAATTTAACGGACTAAGGGCTAAAAATAGAAAACCTGCAAAAGCGGTAGCGTCGGGTTGCCACTTGCCAGGTTGGGGTATTTTCGAAGCACAGCACCCGCCACTGATATTATTTACCGCTGTGGGTAGTGGGTGTGTGAGGTTTTTTTTTTTTTTTTGTCTTTTAAGGAGAGGGGGGCGCAGTTTTCGAAATGGTGATAGTCAGTTGTATCTTTTCCACTTTTTATGAAAAGGTCATGTTGATATGGTGATTGCGAAAGAATTTAGACAAGATATCTTGAATCATCGGTATAGAATTTGTTATAAAAATCAAGAATAATGAATTTATCATGTCATGAGCTTCATGGTATAAACATAGAATCATGACGTTATCATATAATTTGTCTTAAAAGATTTTTTTTATCTTTTTTAACTGTTAGCTGTAAATTTTTTAAAAATCAATATTCATAAAATATTCAAGTAGATCTAGAATCTAGATCTAGATCTATCTAGATGTAGATCTAGATCTGGATTTCTAGATGATTTCTAAAGATTTTAAAAGGTTTACAGCAGGAACAAATAAATCGCTTTCAAAATACAGTTTGTCATTTTTCTAATCTTGACACCATCTTTAGAGAACGAATGTTTTGAGAACATTTAGTGCAAAATATGAGTTCATTATAAAATCAGTTTCTTGTCACAAATTAAATTTTGCCTCTAAAAGGTGACATTGGAGAGCTATGTAGGCCATACATTGATTTACCCGTTAAAGAAGACATCAAAGAATAGGCTCTTCTCGAGCCTCAACCGACTTAATCATCAAAGTCAAGGCACTATGTAATAGTTCCACGATATCCTCGCACGCAAATAAAACGTCTACCACACTGGCAGCAAACCACGCGTATGATATTAATGATAATATAATTCTTACGACGTTAGTGTACGGGCTATTGCTTGCGTGCCCATGAGTTAGAACGAAAAAGCGTTAAAATTTATACTTCCAAAGAAAAACATAATGCCAGGATTGTAGTAGTGCAAACTACTTAAAATCATACTCGCAAGAGAAGGGCATCCAGGCTAATGGTAATGGAATTGTCTCAATATCTCCCACATTTAACAATAAGATCACTATGGTGACAATACTAGAAACTTCCAACACCACTCAAGCGAATACGGCTACGGTACATTAATTAAATGGATCTGTGCCCCCCCCCCCCCCCTTTCCCAAATAATATTAAACCAAAAAAAGAAGAAAATTTTTAATTAATAAATAACAAGTAAGCAAACAAAAAAATTTTTAAAGTTGGAAATTCATCCTTATATTACGGCATCCAAAATACCCAAAACAGTCGCCTTTCCAATCGGGAGGAAAAGTAGGCCTGCGTACATACCCGCGGTATATTACCACACCAGTGCCGTTGAAACTTGTACGTCGGCGATCGAGCCTTCCACCAGTTGGCTACGTTGGTCGCAAACAAGTTCTCAAAATGAACAATCCACGACACCAAGCCGAAATGTTATATACACACTGTAGTATTATGTGGAAGATCAAGTCCACACGGAAATGGCCAAAAATAACAAAATTTGATTTAACACAACTCTATCCTAGGGACATTGGCAGCGACCTGCTCTAACGCCAAAAAGAAGGATTCGATATAAAGTGTGAGCTGGGAGTGTGTTCAGCAGATTTTCAAAGTAGATCTAGATCTAATGTCTTTTGGATAAACTCGTATCTATCTACATTGGCTAATGCGGCTATCAACGGGAAAAGCCAGAGAGAGACACTCAAAGGTGAGCTTTACTCTTGCATTAAATACAGATCTTCTCGTGAACATGTTTACTTTGTAGCAGATTATTACGATACATCGTTAAAGTTGAACATATGAAATGAAATGACATGAGGGACTGAGTCTAGACGGTCATATGATCGCCTAGGACTGAGTGCAAGAGTTGTTCTGTTGCAGTTGCCGACAGGCTACCGCGAAGCATTGAGAAAGCGGAGGGGAATGAGGGGGGGCGGGCGCAACACACATTTATACTGTATACACATACTCACACACACACACACACACACACACACACTCAAACACACACAGGGAGAGAGAGAGAGAGAGAGAGAGAGAGAGAGAGAGAGAGAGAGAGAGAGAGAGAGAGAGAGAGAGAGAGAGAGAGAGAGAGAGAAGTACCGTGCGACAATACATGTTGTCTGTAACCGTTCAAGACAGTCGCTGGATGAAAAATGACCAGTCACCACAAAGGTAAAACACGTCTTGTTTTATTTATTTATGATTCATTGTTGAGTATTATTGTGTTGATAGTTTTACTTAACTGATCATCCGGAGCCGAGCACGCTGATGGCTTGACTTTTCTGAGTTAAACGTACCTTATCTGTCTTGGGCGAAAATGATCAAATGTTGTTTCAGTATTTGGAAACGTTCAAACAGACCTAAACTTTCTTTTTTTTTAAGCAGCAAAAATACCCCCCCCCCCCCCCCCCCCCACACACACACACACAGTCAACAACTCAGAATAAACCTGTCCCCGTCGTTTTATGCAAGAAACTTTCTGAAATTATGAAACTGAGCCCAAAAATGTGAAATTATGCGATTCTGTTAATTTTAACAAAGAATGATAAAGGAAAATAAGCAGAAATTATTTTAAAAATGATCAAATTTTTCTAAATTGTGCAGGGTGCATAAAACGGGGACAGATAAACTCGCCACGTGATCGGAGAATAACGCCACCTTTTTTTTTTCATCTGGGTGCTGTAAGCATAAACTGAAGCAACAAAATGCTAATTAATTTATAAAATGCCCTACGGTACTTCTTAAAGTATGGAGCAAAGATTAATAACATCAGGTATGCAGATGACACAGTTTTGATAGCAGGCTCAGAAAAGGACCTTCAATTGCTTCTAGATACTGTTGTAACACAGAAAGTGAACGTAAAGGATTAGTGTTGAATGTAAAGAAAACAAAATGCATGGTGATATCCTAAAAGCAGCAAAGCCTTGTTGTAATCTCATTAGCAAAGGTGAAAAGATCAAACAAGTCTAACAGTTAAAATATCTAGGATATATGATAACATCTGATGCCAAATGTTCCACAGAAATAAGACGGAGAATTACAATGGCTTAGGCTAGTTTCAATTTTTTTAAATGAGCCCAATCCTGAAAAATAGAAACATCTCAGTGAACACCTAAACGAAAGTTCTGAAATACTATGTTTGGTCTACCCTTCTGTGAATGTTGGACAATCACTAAAGACAGTGAAAATAAAATAGAAGCAACAGAAATGTGGTTTCTTAGGAGATTGCTATAAGACTAGCATCTGCGTTTGTTGCCATTTTTTTGTCCAAAAGTTGCCACAAAAAGTGGCAAAAGTTGCCAAAAAGTTGCCATTAATTTTCAAGCTTTCAACTCTCTTTGACGACGTATAAAGCAGTAATTGATAGAGGTAACTTCATCTAAAGCACCAGAATTTCTTGTGCTCTGCATCCAGAATATCATTTGTAGTCACCCAGTGTATACAATCGTGAAAAATAAAGGTTTCACAACAGAATGAAATCAAAATTAGAACAGAATGGATAAATAACCACAAAAATGAACATATTAAGGCGCGTGTCCACCTATCCGAAGATTGGCTGTTTTAACCCTAAACGTGTGTAATTCAAGAAAAAGTAGGCCTACAGGATATGAGGTGTAAACTATGGAATCACACACAATTGGGGCGTGCCAGTGTCAGTATTCGGTTTTGGTGGAGACATGCTCTGACATTTATATTTTAAAAGGGTAGTAACAGCATCAAATTAAATGACATTACGCTGCATAATAAATAAACACACACAAAAAAGAAAAATAACTCATCAGAACAATTTTTAGAAAAATTAACACACCAACAAATTAAAACACAACAAAGAGGGAAAAATAAAAGACGAACAGCAATATAAATATTATGTAACGTAATGTACTTATATTCTCTGCTTGAAAATAGATACACATGGACATCTTAAAACATTTCCAAACACATGTCTAATATGTTATGAAGTGGCTTTGTTCTTTGGTCTTTATTGAAAAATGCGAAAATCACGGCCGCCATTCGCGGACCAAAAAATGCCAAAAATCACGGCCGCGATTCGTGACAAACGCAGATGCTAGATAAGAGTATAGTGGATTCGTGGAAGGAAAAGAAATCAAATGTGGTAGTGCTGGATGAAGCCCACGTGGGACGCTCAATGTTAAAAACAATCAGGAAACGACACATGCAGTTTTTGGGACACATAAATAGACATACGGGTCTTGAACATCTAGCTCTCATACTGGCAAGCGAGGCAGGGGAAGGCCCAGAACAACAAACATGTACGTGAGGAACCTGAAGCAAATGGGTAACAGGGAAAGATCAGGGAAACGTGGCTTTATTGATAGCATCCGAGCAAAGGAATGAATGGAAAACCGTGATCGCCGATGTCTGTCGCAGATCTGGCACTGGATGAAATGACTTCTTAAAGTACAGTCAAACCTCTTCTATCCCCCGCCCCCCCCCCCCCCCCTCACCTCATTTGTCTCCTCCCTGGGCCCCTGACTCTTTCTGCAGCCTTTCTTTTCCTCGGCGCCTTCTTACTGCTGTCTTGCACTTGCAGCCACACCTCTGAACTTATGGTAGGTATTGTAAGACCTAGACCTAGCCTTCTCGGACAAGGTCAAAAAATCTCGGAGGACCTGAGCGCAAGTTGTGCACGTTAAAGATCCCTTGGTGGTCCAAATTCGATAAGAGTAGGCTTCGGTCGCCACCTGGTCAAAATTAAAAATGTTCTACAAACTGAAAATGTTTGGTGAGTCCCGTGCGCTCATAAAATACGACCTTAAACAGGGACGGCTCGTGGGGCTAAAAAGTGGACGTGCAAAATTAAGCTATCGATGCTGAAGATAGGCAATGGCATAGTGAATGAGACGGTGTGTAATTTTAGGTTCTTTGGGTTGGTGAGGGAGGACCTCGTGCTTTTATTTTCATTCTCTTTACTGTCTCATTGATTTCTAGCACTAAATTTGTTTATTGCTAAACATCAATTTCGTTCATCCTGTATTGGAACTGAACACTCAAGTAATAACTTTTACTACTCCACTACAAAACCATTCAAAGGCACAACTCATAGGACGGTCACATTCACCTCCCTCAGGTTCACGGTCACAGAGTCACTTAAAATAGCCTAGTGGCAAGACAAACAATGAACCAATCACAACTCACTTGAGCACTCCGCAGGATTGCTCCGGGGCTCACATAATATTGGCAAAGAATAGCGCACAGTCTATAAGCGTTTATTTTTAAACTGCCTACTGTGGGCTATGTTTCGGCACTGTTCGACAGGAGCACATTTGAGATGTGCCGTCTTATTAATATTAATGTACCGCCAAACTCGCTATGAGTAGTGTCGTCATCGCTTGGGTTATCCCCAAGAGCGATTTATAGGTCAGGTTACACTGCTGAATATCCTGTTATGTTTAGCTAAAGTGCAAGGACTTTGGCATGGCATAGTAGATGTTTTGCAGTTTTGACAGTTATGGCGCCAGCGAGGACCTTGTTTTGATATAATATTTAGCTAGTGCTTGTTTCTGGCTTCTTTAATTTTATTATTGTGGGTATTTTACGTAATAGAACATTAGAAAATTTTAGGCGGCACTGCACGACCGTGCTCTATGGACGAACCGCGCCTGCTTATGCAGTTGCGAGCGCCGTAAAACACCAGGCCTACCAAAAAAACCCACCAACAAAACCTACTCCTACAGGGTCTTTGGCGCGTTGGAACCTAGCCTCTGATCAATGCTTCTTTCGATTTGAATTTCCGTAAAGTTGAGCTGGAGCTGAACATGCTATTGGTTGCTACTCGTTTGTCCCCCCCCCCCCCCCCGCGCAGGGCAGATCTAGATGGGTCAAGACTGGCCACAATTGGTCTGTAGTCTCCCCCTCCCTCGCACATGGTATCCATGCAAGACAGATCTATTTGTTTGTTTGAGTAAAGAGAAGCACATCGACACAATACACGCGTAAGGGTCATGTGGTGCTGGGAAAAGTAAGACAGACAGACAGAAACAACAGGGAAAGTAAAGAAATATGACCTACCAGAGGCGCCCTCCAACCATCCGAAAGACAGCTGAGGCATGACGGCAACAGTTTTCCTTTAGTCTCTATATACCTACTTTACTTTACTTTTTCATCCTGTTGCCGTTAAGCGTCGAGGGGAAGATGCGGTTTTCTATGGTAGGCCAGCTCCGCAGCTCTTTCAGTTGTGATGTTAAATTGTTCTGTTTTCTTAGTGTTTCCTTGACACCCTCGATCCACCTTTTGCGTGGCCTTCCTCTTCCTTTATAATACATAGCCTGAGTGCTTGGTGTTGTAGGCTCTCGAGGCTGGCTGGTCAGGTCTCTACCATAGTTAAATAGTCAAGTTGGCAATCGTTGCTATCCCACCCCGATGTGCCGCCAACTTGTCCCAAGGTAGGCGGTATAACGAGGTTTAGCTTTTAACTGCATTGCTTAGTATTAAAGTATCTCCTCAAGTGATATAATCAGTTTATACACAATCAAGAAGTACCAATAACTATTAAAATTTATTTTTATCGCCGCTTATATTATATTTCATAAAAGAGTTGGTAATACAACAGTATACAAACACTAATAATACAAAGAACGCCCCAAACTCTGCTTCTCAGTATACCAAATACATGTACAGAGCAAGCTTTGCATATCCTGGAAGCAACTTCAGTATCTATCCTGACATTACGCTACCATAAAATTAGAAATTACAAAGTCCTACCTGACATTTTTTGGCTGTTTTGAACCAAATGTTCTACCTGCTCTATAAAACTTGTAATAAGATTACTCAAGAGTCGTTATGTAGATTGTACTCAAGTTCAAGACTTGCTTTCGAAAAAGCTTGACATGTTCGTTAAATTCTTAAATTTTAAGGTAGTGTTAGTACATGTAACCTTCAACTACAATAGAAAGACAGCAAAATGACCAATTTTCAGAGCCACCTAAGCGTAGATTTGTGCTATCAATCAGCACTGCTGACTACCACTGCACTCCTCTTTGGCCGCAGGAATTTCCTCTGGGATTGGAAAGGCAATAAAGAAAGAAAGGAATAGTAGAAGGATGGAAGGTAAAATGAATGTTAAGACTGGTACAAGTACAAGGGGTTTGATATAAAGTGTGAAAGAACTGCGCGTAAATCAGACCTACTCTCTGTTCCAGGAAACAAGACATAAGTCATAAGTAAAGACAGACAGACACCTGAGTGCAGGAGGTTGCTGAAGGGTCAATTGTAATGATTTGCCCGCTTCTAGAGCCTCCGCAGCCTCATACTAAAGAGCACCAAATTATTATAAGTACACACTTGAGCGTGTGGGTGGTTGGCGGGTGCTCTGCTCCTTCTTTCCTATCAAACATCTATTGTCCTTATCACTCCTCCTTTTTGTGTTTGTTACTCTCTTGTAACACCTCTAATCTTTGGCGCTCATCTGACCTTATTGTGTTGCATGTGCCGTAAAACTCTTACTCAAACTTAAAACACTAGGTACTGAGCAGACAGAACTTTGTAATTCTGTGGTAGCGAAGTGTAGCACCATGAACTGTCACTATCTCATCAGATATATGTTTAGTGATCTAGTGATCTACTATCACTGCATTATTAAATTCAACTTCTTTTTGAGAACATCTGAGGAGAGAAATGAGAGGCAAACCCCATAATAAAGGCCCATGTACGTCTATGTAGGCTCAAATGAAAACCACCAAAGTAACAGTAGTAGTGTAGTAGTAGTACAGTCTGTGCTCCAACAATGCTATTAGCCTGAAAATCACCAAACTCTCCACAAAAGCATTGATAATAACAACAGAAACAATGCCGCACCCCCCTCCTCTGAAAATAAAACAAACAATTGAAGTTGACAAGTTTAATTTTAATGGCAACACAAACACAATATTCAACCAGAGAAATGTACATAAGTTATTTTTTTCAACAAACTTCTCCATCACGCTGCTTGTTGTTACAGGGCTAAAACCTAAATTAACCTTTTGAGCTAGTTATTTTTTTATTCCCTGGAAATAAGCTCTACTCTAACTCTCAGGCTGATCATTGCATCACGCCAGTCAAACATAAATAAATATAGAGCAGTACCTAAACTCATTCCTTTTTTGTCCATTTAAATAAATAGGACTGGTGAAAAAAAAAAATTAAACACATGTTATATGGATAAGTAAGCAATGGTCAACAAAGGTTCGACAAAGGCAAGTTTTACACTTCATTGACACATTTGAAAGACATCACATTCTGCAATGCATTGTAAATGGCTAGAGTTTTCGTTCTCGTTTCATTGTTTGAAGTCGAGGTAAAAATTGAGCCATAGAGTACGTCCAGTTGCATTATGACTAATGGCCATAATTATAATGGGTGACCCTATTTTATGCTATTTGAAATATGTAGCCCAAATAAGCACCCCCTTGTTTGGGCTACATAAAGCCCATATAAAGTTACCACCAGCTTATCTGAGCAACAGAGCAAGTTGATTCCAAACAAGAGTCATTTCTTCTCTTTGTTACCTAACTGAATGTGTCCTTGACCAACGATGAAAACTAAACATCCGATGTACTACAGAAAAGTGAAGATGTGCTGCAAAATACACTGAACTCTGCTGAAGTGCATGTGGTGTAAAAAGGCAGGTCATTCAAATGCACACCCATGTCATATGAAACTGTTTGAAGAACAAATTGCACTGCAGTGTGGGGCCTAAGCCAGCTAGCCCATGTGGACGGCTAACGTTCCATGCTGGGAACACTTATGCTCCACTCAGCACTATCAGACAGACATGTCTACAGCTACACATGTATGTGCTGGCCACCCATCCTTCCTCTCTTGATCCCAGCATATGCTAGGTCTAAAATACACAGTGTGGAAGATAGCCTCTGACTGGTCCACATACTATATTATATACACAGGTATACTGTCATTGAGCACAGAGAAAAAACTGCTGAGCGACAAAGATGCTGAACTGAGAAAGTGAAAGTAACTTCAATTTCTAGAGATCAACTATCACTTCGATGAAAGAGTAGCCCAAATAAGGTTTTCTGTGGGAGGGAGACTTGTTTGCTTAGTTGGGAACAGATATGTAGGCCTACTATATGTAGCCACATAAGTACTAATTATAATTTGCCAGGACACAGACTAAAACAATTGTAATACTTCAAAGAAGTTGACCACACCAAAGAACCAGCCAAACACACGATACTACATGCCTGAAAATTTTCAGACTGAACTTAAAATCTCTGACTATGGATATTTCATCACCATACAGCTGTACACGTTTTAATTTTTTTAATATCTAAAAGGACTATGTATCAATGTGTCCTTACAACTGGAATCACATTTTTTACAGGTGCAAGATCTGTTTCTACTGAAATCAAATTTTTTACAGGTGCAAGATCTGTTTCTACGCAGAGTTTAAACTGTTGTCTCGTCTAAGCACACCCAACCCAGAACAACAATTTACACACAAAAGATAGCTGTGAATAAATGTAAAACTAGTAAAAGGGGGTGTAAAACAGTAACACTTAGAATAGACCTTGATCACTGGAATATATAGGACAAAAGGCTTTACCCTCTCCAGATTTCATAAGCGTGCCATCGGATATATGCAAAAAGTGACTGAACCAAGCAAGTGCAAAGTGATACACTAAATGAGGCTCCAGGCCTTGCTGACTTTTCAAACTGGTTTAGGACTATGGTACAGTAGGCATACTTGCATAAAATTAAAATAAAGCCCCGCCATTGAATTAAAAGGAATGAATGCTAAAATTTCATACAAAAAGTGTAAATTTCAATTGACTGAAAGGAATATTCGGGATAAAAAGGGAAGTATAAAAATATGTAGACACTAGATAATACTGAAACAACTAATTGTTTTGTATTGGCCTAGTGAATCAAAAAGCCCTATGAACTGAAGGTTTCAAAAGCATATAACGCAAACTAGTCATAGTATTGAAGTACTGATTTTTTTCCTGCTCATAAAAAAATGATGTTCTAAAGTCGACTCTGATTATGAGGCACAACTCTGCCTTCCCTAATTATCCCACACCTCTCAGCTTACAGAATTTTTTTTATCAGCTTCTTTTTCGACATCGCTTAGACTGCGGGCCATGAAACGAGAGGACCTTTCTTGTTCTGCACTTTTGGTCGTAGTATCAGCAGCACCTGCACCGTTTGCTGTTGGAGTAACAGCATCATCCGAGCCTCCTGAAGTCCATCTCCACATAGCCACTTTCATTCGATCTTTGAAAGCTTCAAAGGAATCTAAGGCAGGCCTCACATCCAAGAGAGCAAACTCATAGTCTTTGTTAACTTTTCCACCATCATAGTAGTCGATGATATAGCGGACCTCTTTCCCATTTCGGTCTACTACCCAATCATGCCTGTCAAATGGAAGCTCATACCTGAAAAAAAAAACAAAACAAAAGAAGATAAACAACAAAAGCAAAACATTAATAAACAAATTTAAAGCAGGGTCGGCACCCCATGGACTTAAAGGCTGGTTCCAGCGTGATGTAAAACAGAGGATGACACAACCTGCATGACTTTCTTTTGCCGATTTTTGCCATCTTTCTAGACTCAGTTGTGGTTCCTTACAGATGTAGGCCTACGCACTGACAACTATATGCAAGGTTGGCATAAGACATTCACAAGGGGCACCAGGGTTGGGCATGATGAAATGACACACACACATAGAAGTAGAAGTGATCTGATTTTATTTCAGCTGTGTGCATACAGTTTGGTTTTTGTACAGTGAGAACTGATTCTGTTGTTGATGTTAAGCTAAAGTTTATGATGAATCACATATTTTCTTGCTGTTGAGCCAGATCTAATGAAATTCACAATGTTGAGCAGGAGAAGTAAAATGACAGACACTGCATCATGTCTGACCTGTTACATAATTTTGTTCTTGAGCACAAACAAAAGACACAAGTCAGCATATTTTAATACGATGATACAGTGGAATCCTGTTATAACGAGAGGGAGGGACTGGTGCGAAATGTCTGTTATAGCAGGATTTTCGTTATAAGGGATCCAGTAATAAATTCAATGGTAATTATAAAGTAGGCCTAATCTATGAGTTTGGTATTCTGTTTATTTCTTTTTGTTATCTCCCCTAATGATGGTTTTGTTTCAACATGACCTCTAGGTCATACTTGATCGAAAATTGAATCAGGTTTCTTTCTCTTGCGCTAATGATGTTGACAGCTCTGCGTTGGCGATAAAAAAGAAAGGGCTCCAGGCTAACTAGCCCGCTGTGTTGACCCCCAACTCAACCACACCCTGTGGTCCGTTCCGTCTGCTTGCACACGTCACACATTCGCTCCATCCTAGGCCTTCTCTGAGAAGGCATAAGCTCCATCCCATCACAGCACTGTGACCTCTCCATCCCCGCATCGGAGAAGTGAGAGGCATAGTAGGCCTAGATAATCTAGACTAGGCTGGCTCTCACATGATGCGTTCTGCATGTCTGTGCATGCCACACCCTCCCTTCTCATTCGCCCCGGCCTTCATTGTTGACACACGTGGGTTTTCCCATTCTTTGTTTCCCTAGATCACCAACAATTTCCTCAACTGGTGAGGTTTACATTATGTATAATTGCCCTATGCACTGTGCACAGCAGCAGCAATATTCCGCTATAACCGACTCGCGTGTTTGTCTCATTGCGCTGCAGCAGTATTTTATTTACAAAGATAAAGAAGAGAAAAAAATGGGGTTATAGAATAGTGTCTTTATAACAGAATTCTCGTTATTTCAGGACTCCACTGTATAATTTAATAATCAAGAATTTCTTTCTTAGTCCAGTTCATAGCCACTCTATTTTACCCAGACTGAAAAAAAAAGGGTATTCATATATCCATGTAGTATTATTTTACAGTTGGAAAATGAAACAATATTTGATGATTACTGCATGATTTTACAAGAGCGTTGTAAAATAGGTCGATTTTAAGCACAAGGGGGCTATCCCGAAAAATGCTGTTTAGAAAATCAAAGTTAAAATTTTTGCCTCCTGTTCAGTTTCTTTAAAAGACTCTATAACCAAACAAATATTAACATCAATGAAACCAAACTCCTCCTATACGTAGAGCAAAGCCCACTTTTGGTGTAGATCAAGAGTTCTGGAAACCCCCGAAATCTGGGTTAGCCTGCTTGTCCTTAAAAGAGACCAATTATACCTTGATGTTCCACATGTAACTTTAGAAACAAAAGAGTTTTAAGAGGAAAGAAAAAAACCCAACAAAAACAACTAGAAATTGTGCACACCGGTAAGTTTTTTCCTTACAATGCATAATAATAAATGTGTTGCTGATAGTCCAGCTTTTAAGAATGGCATAAATATACAAAGAATACAGCATAGGCACATAACATTCCTCACACACTATTGACATACTTGCAGTTTTTAGCTCACAAAAAATGAAAGCTTCCGAGTGTAAGAATAATACACTGTTAATGCCATACTGTCGCCGAGCACTGAGATAAAACTAAATTGAATTACAAAGATGCCGAACTGGATATGAAAAACTAACTCGCCAATTCGGGCTTATTTGGGCGATTTCACTATTTATTGAGTAACAAACAAAATTGCTTACCCAAGCCAGGATCTTATTCTTGCTCTTGGAGAGAATTTTGTTGCAAAGCCAGAGAATCTCTTCAGTTTTGGTTCCATGCATTCACTGGAGATAAACCAAAAAAAAAAAAAGAAGAAAAGAAAAGAAAATGTAAAAAAAAAAAAATGCAAACAGAAGATATCGGGACCAAGAAAGAAAGAAAAGAAAAGGCACTCAGGAAAAACACAAAACAATGCATGAGCAAGATGACAAATAATCTGATCAGACTCCTTTAAATTTTCTTGTTACCAGATTGGTATCCAATGAAACTCAGATTCAACGAAAGTAGGATTCCCCCATTTCTTAAAATCCGTTTAAATTTAAACAAACAAAATACCTTGTGTGTGTGTGTATATAAAGATAGGATGACGTAAATCTGTATTGTCCAAATCCTGGCTCATTTGTTAGGTGTTTCACCACATACACACTCTCTCACACATCCTCTCCTCAACATACATCTGTGCACATAACCATAATAAAACAATAGTATGCTGGCACTCACAAACAGGTTCACAGTCACGAGCATAATATTATACATGAACAATAATTGTTAACATTAACAGTGTCTAGCTAGATATGTAATCAGTATTCGAGTGTAATCCAATGGTACTCTGATATTGCACGTTTTAAAGGTCAGAGGAATACTTACATTACATGATGATTAAGATGATAGGAGTTTAATGGATGATAGGGGGGGGGCTCAAGTGGCCAAGTGAGTAGTGAGCTCAGACTCAAAAGTAATGAGTAATGTCAAGCATATTTCGGTGAAATGGGGTTTAGGTGGGTGGTTACTAGGGTGTGTCCTGCAGCAAGACACGACGACCCTGGCTAAAAAAATAAACCAGGGGGCTGCACAGAGGTGACCAGCAATTACATGTTTGTGAAATTGTTCTGTATTGGTGTAATAATGTGTATCTAGGTATGGATTTAGTATTTATGTATGTATAGTCAAACCTCGTTATACCGCCACCTCCGCCTGCTGCCAGGTTTTGCCAAGGTACAAAAAGAAACGTTTATATATAAACATAGCATTTGCGAATTTTCAATACCATCCGCCAACTGTCCAGGTTATATAGAGTAAAGTAGGGTGTCGCGTCCACCTGGTCTATGCGTCCACTCGCTGTATTTCGTTATTCGTCGGTGTTTGATCGATTCCGGTCATGTAATTAAAAAGTATAAGCAGTTACCGTTTCATTTCGCATGTTACTTTCGTTTTTTACACTCTGTAAGTCACTATTTTCTGGTTATTAAAAATTTGTCTTCTTCATTAGCGAGTTACACTAGCGGAGACGCTTATTTGCTAGTCGACTGCTTGGCAACTAATGAACCCAAAGCACCCTCACTTGCTTTTATTAGCCTTTGCAAAGGTTCTAAAACATAATTTTGCCCATTGTGCCATTCAACAATGGAAATTTGAGCCACGAGGGGGGTCGACGCGCTCACCATACCAAGTTCTAGTATAGTCTGGTCATGTGTCCATGGGTGGTGGCACTCACCGACTAAGTAGATTCAGTATGGTGAATGAGTTCACATCCTGTACAAATGCATACGTCATTCACTCAGTCACTTGTAGACATCTATTACCAATCAAAGGTTTATTGTTGTGAAAATTTTGGTTTTTTAAATCCCATTAGATCTAGATGTAGAGATCTAGATTCATATCGTCTACATTATTTTTGTTTTGTTTTTGTAACATTTAAAAAACCCAAACAAAAGTCTTTCATGTCCAGGTGGCCCTTAGTGGCAATGAATATGTGAAGTGTGCTGACAAAAGATCTTACTGGCTAAAACCCGAGAAGTGCATGCCCACTATTTCATAACCCCCTTGTACACTTACCATCCATCCACGTATTTTGAATACATAAATTTACTTGCATTTAAATTACTGAACATTACAAAACTAAAATTTTAAATAAATCCACATAAGTATAAAGATATTTGGTTGTAAATTAATAAATAGAGTCTACATGTAAATTTTTTTGTCACTTTACCTAATGTCAATGTTAATAAATAAAATATCTTAACATAGGTCTAAAGGTTTTATTCATTTTTATTTCATACATAATGAAGAATGAATGAGTGGATAATAATAAGATGAAGAATGACAGACTGGTTGAACATAGATCTAGATTCTATGTTTGTTGTTGTTGTTGTTAGCGATCCAGTAGCATCTGAGCGTTAACTCTTCTGCATGATGCCATTCGGTAATAGTTGCATGTTTGTTCTAATTGTTTTCTTGAGGAGTAGAGGCAATTAGATGTGTGGGGTAGCTTGGGAAGAAAACATCCCCTTAAATCAGTTAGTTTTCTACAGAAGAACAGATGATGTTCCACTGTCTCTGAGGGGTAGTCCATAGTGGGAAGGCAGCAGACTGCTTTACTCCAATTCGGTTGAGATGTTGGTTGAGGGGTACATGTTGTGTTCTAAGTTGGAAGATTATGGATTGATCTCCCCTCCTCAACTCATTGATTGGATCTTTGACCAGTGGTTTATTCATGTGGCCATACATCCTCCTTCCTGTCATACCTGTGGCCCAATCATTCATCCACTCTTCCTTGAGGTTTGACTTGATTCAGGCTGAGGGAGGCTAGCTCCTTTCTTTGCCAGAACATCAGCTCTTTCATTTCCCGGTACAGTCCATGCCGGCTTTAAGCACGGTCATCGGGAGAAAGCTTAAGCGTGCTTAAAGCCGAAGCGTGCTTAAGTGCGAAGTAGACATAATCCAGAGATTTTCATGTAGAAAATTCCCCGTGCTATTTCCCTCTGTTTGTAAGTAGGTCTATAGCGGTCCCGCAAAAGTGTGCACTGTTATTTAGACACCCGCCATGGTAGTTTTTGTTCGCTTGTTTGTTTTTGTTTTGTGGTCGAATGGGAAATGAAAACTTAATTTAGACGGCCAGTCACGATACAGCACACTAGGCCTACTGTAATACACTGCCTGTGCGTACCACTGCCCGCTGTGCCACTCTGCACTCATACCACTGCCTTCATCCCACCTAGCGCGTGATACACAATCAGGATTAATGGATAGCGAGGGTCAAAGGTGAAATCACAGCCAGCCTCCCTTTCTCGTCTCCCCGACTCTCTTTGTATTATTTTTTTGGTCGTGTGTAGCTTTGCCCTAGGCCTAGGCTAGATCCTATGTCCGTGCGCACGGCTGTGTGCATCTCTCTGCCTTCCTCTCCGCCCGTGTGAGTTCTTTGTGTTTCTCTTGACACACTCCACTGCTGCGGTGTAAACTGATGGGTCATCATGAAAATATTGACTGTCTTGTAAATGAAGAGTGCTTGAAAACGAAGTTACCATGCTTATAGGCGTGTAATTTATATAGCAAAAATTCGGTAAGAGCCGTTTAGTGTGCTTGAGTCCGAAACGTGCTTAAGGCCGGCGTGCTTAAAGCCGGCACGGACTGTATCCCAATGTGGGCAGGAATCCATTGAAGGACTACTCTGACGTGGTGCCTACTTATCAAGTTATGTAGACTCCAAATCAAATGCAATATATCTTTGTTCACATCAGTCCCACTCTCAAGTGTCTCTAGCGTTGAAAGGCTGTCTGTAAATATAACGATGTCTGTGGTAGCAAGTGGGTTAGTGTCAAACAAGTAGTTGATGTAGTTTGCTGTGTTGGTGATAGCCTGTTGTTCGGCAATGAAATTGGAGCAGAAGGACCCGCTGGAGTTGAAGACTTCTTTTTTTTATCCCACTGGGCAAGTTGATCACTGACCCATATCCAGCGTTGATTGTTGTCTTAAATGCAGATCCATCAGTGTATGAGTGGATCCATGTTGGTGGATAGGAATCAAGATTCTATGTTTAAACATCATTTATTTCTTATATTATAAAGAATTAGGGGGTGGTGGCACTGACCAGACCTAGTGGACGCATTCACCAGCAAAGTGGATGCGTCACCAGACCAAAGTGGACGCATTAAAATGCAACGTAGAATGAAGTCTATTAAGCATACAGAGATGATAACTAAGTCTGGTGATGCGTCCAATTCTGCCGGTCACGCAGATACTTTCAAAATTTGGATCGATACGAAAATAGCCAAATTATGGCTTTCTAAAGGCCTTAAGGTGGACGCACACCTGACTTTACTCTATATTATAAAGATTAAAAGCATCTTCACTGCTTCCTGTCAAGTAAAATCTGACTGTATAATTATATAATAGGTTTTACATTTTTGTTACAAAAGGGAGACAAAGGACAGGAGAACTTACTCAGAATGGAGTGCTTCCCATTTCAACACTTCTCGCCATGCCAACTCATTGTTAGCATTGTGAATATTTATTATATGGTCCATGTCCTTCTGTTCGATTTCGGCATCCTTCCAGCGCCATCCTGCAAGAAAGTCACAGAAATGTGTAAGTCTCAGTCTGTTGACACAATTACAGGAAAATCTTCACCAAAGCAGTTCCAGCCAACTACATCTAAATTGTGTTGGCAGGGGCATAAAAAATTCATAGTCATATACCTAAAATAGAACCTTTTCAAGATTAATAAAACTTAAAACCACTGAAAATGAGAGAAAACTCCTTTGAATTTTACGAATCTAAAATTCAGTCTGGTCATAACAAACGCACAACATTATGCTCTTCAGAATATTTGATGGTGGCTCTAAAACTAGGCTCACTCACTCTTTTATGTTTATAATAGTTTTTTTGCCAGCACAAGTTGGCTGTTTAGAATAAGCACTCTTGTCATCTCCTGGTACAATATAAGGATTTAAGCAGAACATTTTTGGTACACTATATTATGTACAACATTAATGGCGATACATCTTGGCTTTCAGCTCTCGCCTCCTGAGCTTATGAAAACTTAGTACTCAGGGACGGCAGTCAGATTAATACTACTACATACAGAGGAAAGAGCACTCAGAGTTGTGCCCTCAGACCCCTATGGTTTAGGCATGCGTCACAATGTGGTGGAATCAGGCACTCGTCAATTTTTGGGCATGTGGAGTTACTGTTGTTGCCTGTTCTATCTTTCAAAGGAAAAAATGTCCATCTATCTTGAAAAGAAGTTGAGATATTTGTGATTGAAGGAGGCGGGGGCAGCATGGTTTCAGAGGCAAAATTAGTGAGAAAGTGCCTGCTAAAGTTTAGTGAATTTCATATCCTGAGATTCCTTGGAAACTATAAATTTACATTTTTTGTGCCTAAAAACAAATGTTAGACTAGTGGAAAAATGCTGGTATTTTTTATTTTGTTGTTTTGACAAGCGCCTAATTTAACAATGATGTCTCACAAATATGAGGGAGAAAGTTGCCACACCTTTCCGAAGCATTGCATTCCAAAACATCTGAGGTGACGGGTAGACCCAAGTTTCATCAGAGTTCGCTTTCGGTATGGAAGACTTGATCCTGTCCGTGGACAATGAAAACGGCTGGTCTGGTGAGGGCCTTTGATTTGGTGCTGGCATCTGAAGAACAAACAGATGTGTATTGGTGTAAGAATCAAGGGAAGCAACCAGCTTTAAAAAATAGTGTTGTATTTTTACCACTAACCTCCCCTTGTTTTTTCCTCTTTGGCTTTATATTTTCACTTATCGACATCAAATCCACCTCCCAAAACATGTCGATATAAGCGGATTATACTGTATTAGTATTTGCTTTTTTAACTCCCTATCTCTAGCAACCTGCCCTCAGCAGCTCTTGGTCAGAACTGCTGTGCCACTGGCAACAGCTCAGGCACATTCCTATACGACAATGTTCACATTATATAGGTCTACTTGTATTAGTTTTTAGCAATTGCCAAAAATAAGTCTCTTTTACTGAGAGACTTTTCATTAGGCGAAGAACTAACATTTCTTTTGATTTAATGACCAATTTAGTGATACATATGTCACTTTTAGGTTTCGTATCAAAACAGAGCCCTGGCAATGAAGGAAAACCCCCTCCGAAGAAAAAAAGTTAAACTGTCTTCTGCTAACTGCCAGAGTTGAACGGTCCTTATAAAACTAATGTAAATTTGCCTAGCAACACTGTCAGTGACTAACCAGCCACAAGACCATCGTACTAAACATTGGACATGGCACCCATTCCGCAGCTGCACAGTAATTATCCCCCTTTCTCCCACAAACAACTCTGCAACATAAATTACACATGTTCACAAGCCGGCCCCAGCACCGTATCTTTACGTGGAGACTACTGCCTTCAAAATGAAAAGTACATAATAAGCATTGTAAAAAAATACCATATTGTCCGCATTGAATTCTTCAGCCATCGGTGCAGCTCCTTCTCCTTGACTCATAGGACACTCACTGGCAAAAACTTTTGGTCTTTCAGGAGTGTTCTGAGAAGCCTGATGCATGGGACATTCACTTGGGTACGATGAAGGCTTCTGGTGTGTCTCCATGGGAGCCTGCTTTTGAGGGGACTGATGCATGGGGCATTCACTTGGAAATTTTCTGGGATCAGAAGCTTGGTTTAATGGCTTTGCTATGGGTTCTGTTATGACCTGAGCTTTCTGGGGTGAGCTGCCAGGAAATACTGTTGACTGGTTGGCTAGATGTGGCACAGCACCAGAGTCGACAATCCTCAGCTGTCCAGCGACACCTTTCCCATCACCAACTTGATGGACAGGGCACTCTCGAGGAGGAGCAAAGGCTCCGCCGGGCATCAGCTTGACACCTTCATCTGTGACCTTTTGAGATGCTTTATTGTTCAAATCAAATTGAAACTGAGACGGAAACTGTCCTTTTTTCTGCTCAAACATGTCTGAAGCAATTTCTGTAGATGCAGACGCTCCCATGATTTCATGAGCTGTGGGTTTGACACCTGAAGGAGAAAAACAAAAAACAACTAAGTTACCCTCAACATTCACTTCTGATTTTTAAGTACAGTGGAACTCGGATTCAACGAGGTTGCCTGGCCTGCCCTAAAATCTTGTTGAATCTGAGTGTTCGTTATGGCAAACACAAGGTTTTGTGTAGATAATTACAGGCACTGAGCAAGTAATGTATAAAGAGAAGTCACAAGTAGTGCCTGAAATGCCTGCATATTATGAGCTGTGTAAAAAAAAAAAAGACAGATTCGTTCAAATGCTCACGCCTGAGTCATCTCGATTGTTTACCAAAAAGTTGTGTTGCTCTGCAGAGCCTAGCATATGGCAACTTTTGATTCCATAGACCAGCCCACAATTCATTACGTAGATCTACGTCAAGACTAGCTTATCATTGTAATAATGATCAGTTGCCTTGGAAGGAAAAAAGACTGTGACGCGTTTGTATCTGCGACGTTCAACGCCGGACCACTAGTGCCCCCCCTCCCCGACATGCACACACAGTCACACGTGTGCAGGCCGCCTATCTGACCCCGACATACGCCATAGTAGACACGTGTGCGTGCCAACAACGCATATATTAGTATGAAAAAAGGCCGCAACCCTGGAAGCGCCCTCGTTGAATCCGAGCTCGCTGATTTAAGTGGTCGTTGAATCCGGGTTATTTCTATTGATTTTAAAGAAGAAAAAAAAAGGGGAATCTATCTCATCTCGTTGAATCCAAGTTCCACTGTATTATTGCAACAGGTAAGTTTAGGTACCTGTCAACAAGACAAAAGAAAGGAAGCATGAGATAAACTGTCCAGACAGAAGGAGAGAATATTATAACTTCAAGATCATGTGTTGTTGTGCATTACACCCAAAGAAAAAAAAAGACCTTGCAAGAAACAGCTTTTCACATTCAAGAATAGATTTTACAAAAACTCAAACATGTTGTAAAATTCTAGATTGAGAGTGTGATCAAGAAGAGTGAGTACAATCCTACTGATTTGGGTAAGTTCTTTTAAAATTCCCTAAACTACTTATAGGCCAGGCCACAACTAAATCTTCGCTAGCACCCCTTATGTAACATAAATCGTCAAGACTTAGTGCTTTAAGACAGCAAAACACTCAGGTGTATGTCGATTGCGGGTCAGAGAGAAACATTGCCAGTTCACACTGTACTGTATGTGCGTGTAAGCCTACATTTATCACACCCAATAATGGGTGTACCCCATGTGCATAAAAGTCAAGTAAATCAAAGACAGCCAGTGTGCTTCTATTGTGTGACCTTCAGTTGGCCATGGCCTAGCCCTCTTCAATTGTCTCTGCGAAGTTAGTTCACATAGATCTAGATAAGGTTCTAGAGTTGATAGTTAATGATAGAGCCCTACACATGGGTAGGCCTATTATGTGACGTTTCATTATAGCACAGAGCACAGTAGGCTAGAGTGTGCTGACCTTACTCTTACTCTTTCATCTGTTCCGTGCAGCTGTTTGACAGATTTTAAGCAAGCCAACAGAGTCAAAAGAGAAAGAGCACTCATGTTTTAAACTGTTTAAAACCTACAGAGATAAAAAGAAGGCCAGCTCTATTCAGACTCGAGTCCGAATATGGGTTTTATCTATTCGGACTCTGGTCCGAAAAAAGGTCTATTTATTCGGACTCAGCTTCTAAGTGAGTTATGTGAGTGTAAGGAGGTGACCTATTTAAAAGTCGGGGGGG